GTCCATACATTTTTGCAGTGTAGAAGTTGTAGATTACAGGATAATTTTTTTCTGAAAGCAAATTGTTTATTAGAGAGTAGGTTGTTTGTTTCTAGGTGGAGGGTAATGGATTGGTTGATGATTGATTCCATGACTTTGCAGGTGACGCAACATAAAGAGATTTTCCCCCCTATCTTAAAATTCTCTGTCTTGCAAAGAAATATGGGTCAAATCTGTTCCTCATATTTTAGAATGCATGTCTTCTAGTGCAATTTGTTTGAAATGAGGGATTGGGATGGATGAGCAATAACTGCGACGAACTGACGAGGACTATGAATCTTATTAGTGAAAACAATTCAGCAGATAAATCCACAAAACATACAAAATGAAAAAAAAAGGTTAATAAAAACATATTTCCCCCTTAATTCCTGCCACTTGCTACTATTTATTTTAGGGCTACTACAGTAGATCTACTGTAGGTTACAAACATTTGGGTGACTGGTGGATGGCAGCAACATTAGAGGTTTCTATATCTCCTTTCTATCTGACTGTCACCCAAAATGTTTGCACTAAGCTTTATAACTTATTAGATCATCTGATCCTGAAACAGCCATCGGTTTGAGCATTGGGAAACTATTTAAGGTCCAATGCCTATGACAGGATAAGAGGGCACCCATGCTTGTTAACTTTTTTTTTTTTTAAGGTCAGTGTGTCATACAAAGAGAGCCAGAGATTCAAAGTAATGCTTACTATTATTTCTGCTTTGCTGCTTGCCCTGACCAAAGGACAGAACATACACTCAGCTTTGCATTTCCTTGCAGTACCATCAGTTACAAGAAATTGAAATTGAGGTACAAAAATGAAAAGAAGTAGCATTTAATGGATAAACTTCCTCCTCTCGGCTCCTGAATAAAGATGAGTTCAAACTCTGCCAGATTGGCAACAAGTAGCAGCAGTATGAAAGGTATAGAGGGTAGTTCTTCAAATAGAGAGCTTTTCCTATAAGGTATTATATAATATGCCTTGCTGAGAGATTATATCAGCCAGCCCTAAGATTGACTTAGTTTATTAGTCAACAGTCAGTGGGTGGATGAATCCATGAACCATAAGGCTACATTTACACAACATACTAACTCATAAAGAACAACTTGTTGCCTTTCATACAACAGGACAAATCAAAACGAAGAAACCATTTTGTGGCTTAATAAGATGGCCTGGCTCACTCACAACTCATATTGTGATATACAACTCAGATATGATCAGGTCAGGGGTGAAATCTACTTATCTTCCTTACCAGTTTGGAAGTGCATGCGCTGCGCGTGCAGACCTTCTGTGCACGCGCAAAACCTTCTGCGGTTGCACAAAAGGTAAAAAACACATTACTTCCTGGTTAAAACCAGGAAGTAATGACACCTCGGCAGGTGGGCGGAGCTTTGCTCCGCCATCACTACCGGATCGCCGAACCACCGGCCAAGATCGCTACCGGACCAGGTGATCCGGTCCAATTCGGGAGCATTTCACCCCTGCATCATGTTCATTTGGTTTGAATTTAGCTATGGTGGCTTAGTAATCACAGTTTATAGCATCTTGTACAAAAAGCACCTCAAAGACATACAACAAATAGAGTTGGCATTTGCTTGAATTTTGCCACTTTCTAAATTAATGCAGCAGAAACCAAATGCTCGACTGGCTGGCTATTCAACATTAGAAGCTGGATAGAAGCAACCCAACGCCAGATATTTGCAGACCTGAAGTCATGAATCAATCAGCAACATGTATGTGTATTGGTATGAATATGACTGGGCTCCACTACATTGAGCTACTCTAGCTGATAGTGTCAATCAGTTCCTACACCAATGGCAGTAGGTAGAATGCCGAGTCTGTATGGCTACAGAAGGGATCTTCCTGTGGGGCATGATCAATTCCCACTGCTCTACTTTTCTGTGCAAATGATTTCCTTCTGTCAACTCTGATTGTGCCACACAAAATTTTCCAATCCAGCGTAGGAAAAAAAGGCTTGGATTTGTTACCTCCTGCTGCAGCCCTAATCCAAATAGAAGCATTTCTCTTCTGGGAGCAAAAAAACCCTCTCTATTGTAAAAGCACATCACTTACAATTTGCTTTTTGCTAGACATGGGTCCTCCAACTTTGCTCATTGGTAATATAGGAAGCTTCCTTTAAATAGTGCTTAAGGACAAAAAGCCAGTGCCTACTATACGGTAACAGTTTCTTCTGGAGGAGGATGTGACAGCACATTACCAGTATGCCGGCAGATGCCCCTGATGCATTGCTTAGAGCAGGGTTTCCCAACTTCAGCAATGTTAAACTAGTTGGGGAATTCTGAGAGTTGAAGCCCACACAATTTAACATTGCTAAAGTGAGAAACACAGGTTTAGAGGACTCTAAACAGTTTTCACATTCCAAATCTTCCATGCTGTTAAGAGACACTGCAGTTCAGAGAACTGACTGCTCAGTCCTCATGGCCAGGGAATCCTTCTGAAGACATCCAATTCAAACCACATCGAAAGGCCTTTTTAATTTAGGGAACATCCTGCAAAACTGGTTGTTCCCAATCTTGAGAGTCACCATAAAGCTTGTCTCTTTGGATTAGCTTGTAGAAATCAGGAATATTGGATTGGAATGCAATTGGATATTTGGACAATTTATTTGTTTGTTTTGCTCACGTCTTTCTCCCATTCATTAGCTACCCACTCCCTAAGTCTCTGAGCAATGGCAAACAAATGAACTACTGAAGACACCATTTGAGCTCATAGGACGCCCCTTGTTGACGTAACTGCAGTGACTTCCTGAACATATTGATTCTGTTTGGGGAGTGAAGCCAAAAGCTGATGACAGCAAAGTTCATAGGTTTTTTGCTCTTCCCTGTGCGGGTGGCAGTCAGATGTTTGTTCTCTGGAGCAGTCGGCTGACTGCATCTACTTTGCTCTAATAGATTGAATAGATGACCATTAAAATAGAAAGGCAAGCGCAGCAGCTCTTAATTTCTAACTTACCTTAAAAGCATTTGCTCTTTAGTTATTAATTAAGGTTATCCTTTTAATAAAGCATCCAAAGAATTATTATTTTTTTGTCCAGTGGCCATCTTTATGGGCATTTCACTTTAGCCATTTATTTAGTCTAATAGGAGTTTATTATGAACACAAATTACCTCCTAGCAGAAGGGGGAAATGACTGACATGCAATGTATCGTATTGAGGTAAAAAATAATTATTGTGCCATTTATTTTTTTCAAGAACAGGCATGTTGTGATGCTAAAGTCTAAAGGAAAGTACATTGATTTACAGGAAATTGTTCAGTTTCATGGTAGTCATTTACAAATGTACTTTTAGAGGCCCCCTTCAAATGCTGATAAGCTTTGTACTGGTCCAGCCAAGTCTTCTCCAATAACGTCAGAGGCTCTTTAGGATCAGGTGTGTCTACTGCTGGTATTCAAAGTTCAGGAAAACATTACCTTTACAGTCTCCTCATATAGACAAAACCCAACTGCTTTATAGAAACCTATCTGAAATGGAGGACAGCCTTTCCTAATTTGGTGGGCCCCCCAAAAAATGGCCATGTTTGGTAGAGATAACAAAGTCTCTAGTCCAGTGATACTCAACCTATGACATGTGTCAAAGATGGCATGTTCTGATCTAGGCTTCCTGAGTCAGTAAAACACACGAGTAGTCCCAAAAACCTGTTTTATTTTAACAGCTGTGAATTCTGTTCATTCACAGATGAGTCCCACATAGTTGTAAAGAGTCCTTCGGGATAAGGCTGATAATCACCCACGTTTATCTCCCTTGACACACTGCCAAAGACCTAATTGGCAAAGCCACACGGAGTCCAGAATCAAACAGAGCTTCAGATTTTAAACTGCACAGAATTAACATTGTTGCTTCCTGCAAAGGCCCACGTGCCTTTGCTCCTCTTTTAAGTTTTATGGGAGGGGCCAATCATCTCCAAACCCTACTCCCAAGTCGTCCTTTTTCTTTTAACTATTCTTGCCTTCTGGCAGCTCAGTGCATGTGCGCATTGGGAACAGGCTCCCCCTGTTCCTCTGCCTCACTGAGGTCCGACTCTGGAGGCTCCGGAGACAGCACGTACTTCCCAGATGGTCCTTTCTCTGCCTCCAACGCAGAGCCCTGACCCAAGCCTTCCCCAGACTCCAGGACTGGCCCATGTTCCTCCCCACCCTCCTCACTGTCTGACTCTGCTACCAGCTCCACAGGCTGCTGGCGGACCACGTGACATGACATGTTTTGGGTGACATATCAACATTCACCAACACCCAACAACTATTCTTGAAAGCATGGCCTGTTCTCACATGGGGTTTGGAGGCCGCATAAGAATAAGGTGTGCTCTTGTGCAGTCTTTGGACCCTCCAAAAGTCACGCAAGAGAACCATGCTCTCATGTGGTCTCCAGAGCCTCTGAAAATTGTGCAAAAACAGTGCGTGCTTTCATGTGGTTTTCAGAGGCTGCAGAAACCATGGAAGAGCATTCTCTGAAACTGCTTCAAGAGCGAAGGCTTTGTGTGATCTGGAGCAGCCTCGGATAGGGTCCTGGGGTCTGTCAACAGAAAGAGAACATCACTTGAAGGTAAGTGGTATATGCCAGATTTTAGGTAGTGCTGGACTGTGGGGGCAATTGTGCTGTTCCCCAAGGTTTGTGTGCTTTAGAGAGTACTGTGAGTCAGCCTTTTTGAGTAGCAGCAGTCTTGCTAGGGTTGAAATCAAGGCCCGAGCCTCATCTTCAGGCCAGTTCAACATTGCCGCCAAGTGCTGCTATTCAGAATGGCCTAGTTTGGGTGGGGGGAGCAAGGGAAATAATTATTTTTCTTTTGCTGGGTGGGAAGATGTGTAACACATCAGCAGAGTCAAATTAAGCATGTTCCAAATTTTTGAGGTACCAAGCCCAAAATGTTTGCCATGACTGCTCTAATCCAAGGCATCTGGAGATAATCAAGTTGGAAAAGGCCATCACAGAGAGTACAAGAATATTCTGAAGAGACAGGAGTATTACTAGATTTTAGGCAGTTTATTGTTAGTTTGATCATCATCATCATTAGTTCAAAAGTAATGCACAATCTTAGAGAAATAAAGTTCATCATGATTGAATCAAATATTAACTATTACACCTGTCCACAAATGGTGTTTAGTAGTTTCTACTATAGCCTACACTTAATATTACATGGCTCAAGGAAGACACTGTGGCCTTACAACTGATGTATTTTAGTAACCCATAGAAGTTAGTAAGCATCACTGATCTCTTACATGATCTCATTGATAGTATTGGATATTTTGGTCATTTAGTGCAAGTTGTAAATCTCACAATTGCTTTGTGATCTAATCCTGCTCATATACAGGAATCCAGTAGAAGCTGCCATTGGCATCATGATGTGGTATCATTAATTTCACACGCTTTCCCCTATGAATATCTACATCATCTCATAATGGAAGGGGCTCCAGTAAGTGAGACAGTTCATCTTGCTTTTCAAAATTGTGAGAAAATATATTTTCTTTCTAAAACCTTCCCTCTATGAAAGAAAAAGTTCAAGACTTTAATAAGTAAAACCTATTTACATAGATTTCTCAAACATAAAAGACAATCAGAAATGGTTTAGTTTATTAGCATTCACAAACTAATGCAGTTGGTAATTAAGATGACTAATTTTTATTACAACAGACATTTCAAAGATTTGGCTTAAGTATTTTCTTATTTTGAAGCCACAGATGTTTGTCTGTTACTTTGTTTAGGTCACTGAAATTAATGAGTAAAACAAATGCAATATTATTTTGCAGTAGTAAATATGCTTTTGTTATGTATCATTATTTATTTACTTTTTAAACAAAGAGTGAGTACAGAGGTAGAAACATATTTGTATTAACAATAAAAATTGCACTTTAAACTTCATCTCTGATTTTTTGAAGTTTATTTATTTATTCAAATTGCCAGCATATTTCAGCTTTGGCATAGTACTTAAACAAGATGGCTGAGCTTGTTTCTTGAGTGGAATCCTCTCAGAATGTAGATCAATATACAATTGATGAAATACCTCCCCATAATTAATTTAAAAACCTTATCAAAGATAAAACTACTTGCAGTTAGACAAGACTTTGTCTGGAAAAAGCCTACATGAGTCCTGATGCTGGGAAGAGATTGGGTTTTAAAAAATGCAGGTAAAGGTAAAGGTTCCCCTCACACATATGTGCTAGTCATTCCCAACTCTAGGGGGCGGTGCTCATCTCCATTTGAAAGCTGAAGAGCCACTGTCCGAAGATGTCTCTATGGTCATGTGGCCGGCATGACAAAACGTCAAAGGCGCACGGAACACTGTTACCTTCCCACCAAAGATGGTCCCTACTTTTTCTATTTGCATTTTTTACATGCTTTCGAACTGCTAGGTTGGCAGAAAAAACATAGCATTTATCAAAATCACAACTGGGCATTATGAATTGAGAAAAAAACATGCAAGAATTCCAACAAAAATGTACAAACATATTTTGCAGAAATATCAAGAAGTTTCAGCAGGACTGTACCACGTTTTGTGGTACAGAACTAGAAGCACTTAATACACACATCTGGTTGGTTGGATGGATGGATACACTTTATTAAAGTTTGTATAGGACCTCCTTAGTTGGTTTTGTATTTTGTGTCAGAGAACCAGTAGCTAATACACCCAAGCTGAGTGTTAAGAATAATGCCGCGACATAATAATCACTGCATGGTATTGACTTATACAAAGTTAGTAAAGTTTGAATAGGATCTAGTTGATAGTATTGATTTCAAGACTTCTTGTTCAGGAAAATCAACGACTAAACAAGCTTTTAAATACTTTTAAGAACTTTTTAAAAGCAGGTGTGAATAAAATTCATTATGGTGGGATGGGGCAGTTATTTTTACCAACACTTCCATCAATTTCCTCAGAACACAGAAGTTAGCAGACCGGGGTATGCCTGGGATAGGAAGAATCTTGCTTTCTATTAGGAGCCGTTTCTCCTGAGCCAGAGGCCTTTATTTTCACAGAAAGATATTTTGAGATGCCACACGGTGCAAATCAGTTCAAATGTCTTGTTTGAAAAAATCACCAGCTGGTACTCTTTGGCTGATTAGACTTGGTGTCTGTTCAAACACTATAAACAGCAGCAGGTTCCTAATTTCTTCCTGCTAAATCTAATGTGTGGTAGGGTCAATTGAGCATTTTATTTTTACTGTCCAGCGCCACCACAAACAGGAGATTCACAAGCTAAGCTTCAGCTCTAGGTACACTAACAACTTTTCTGGATCCTAACTCTTTATATAATTGTGGCAGGTAGTCCTCGACTTACAACACTTCGCTTAGTGACCATTCAAAGTTACAACAGCACTGAAAAAACAATATGACTATCTTTGACATTTATGACCATTGCAGCATCCCCATGGTCACGTGATCAACATTCAGATACTTCGCAACTGACTCATATTTATGACAGTTGCAGTGTCCCCGGGGTCATCTTTTGTGACCTTATGACAAGCAAAATCAATGGGGAAGCCAGATTCACTTAACAACCGTGTTACTAATTTAACAACTGCAGCAATTCACTTAACAACTGAGGCAAGGAAGGTTGTAAAATGGAACAAAATTCACTTAACTAATGTCTCACTTAGCAACATAAATTGTGGGTTCAATTGTGGTTGTAAGGCTAGGACTACCTGTACATGAAATTGAAATTCCACTCCTAAAGCTCTCAAGGGACAGGTTAATTGTATGAAAGGAAACTTAAGGCTGGCAATATCATGCCCAAATGTCTCTTGCCAGTTGGGATCAAAATCCACCCGTTTCTATATTTTGTTATTTAAAAGGTGGATACCAAGTGTTTGCAAAGTAGCAGCATGAACTATATTCATCTACGTATAACAGGAGCTCAGAAATAAAATGGATAAGCTATTTTCATTATTTATCTAGCAGACTATGGCTGTGTGTTATATGGCCTTACCTGGGATTTTAGCATTCTTTAGCTTTGAAAACTTTTTTAAGAAAAATGCTTCTACCAGAGTCTCAAACTGGGTTGGGGCTTCCAAGGAATTGGGGTGGTAATGATCCATGCTTTTTTAGAGCCGAGCAGCTTCGCATAGGCAGAATAAATTTTTTCTCTAAGCTTTGCTTTTTATTTGACCTCTGCTCAACTGTAGGGCTGCAAAGTCAGAGAATACATACAATATATAGATAAACATTCAATGATTAAAAGTAAGTGATAAGAGTTACTTTATGCCTGTGTGGATCGTGACTGATCCCAATGAAGAAGAGGCTGGTGTGGTGTCGCGCCAGCAGCCTGTACAGCTAGCGCTCGCGTCGGACAGCGAGGAGGCTGAAGAGGATGTGGTGCCAGAGGCAGAGACTCAGCCAGGGCCTTCAGAACCTCCAGAGGCTTCTTCAAGTGGAGAATGAAGTGGAGGAGCCTCTTCTCAATGCTCGAGCACGCAGGGCTGCCAAAAGGCAGGAGTGGCTACTCAGGAGGAGGAGGTCTACTCGAGAGTAGGGCTTGAGGATAATTGGCCACTCCCTTAGCCTATTTAAGTCGCACGCAGCTAGTGCGTTCTTGCTGGAAACAACTCTATTATTATCAGAGTATTTTGGTTTATCATATCTTGTTTTCTGGGCTGGTTGCCAACCTTTGCCGGTCTTATTCTTGTTACTTAATAAATTTGATAAGGACCATTGGTGTGTGTCAATATCCTCGGAAATCCGGAGCTGGGGCAGAACAATTTTCAGGGATCATGAGACCGTACAGGTTGAGAATCTTTGCCTCTTCCTATGTACAATCAACATGGCATTCTACATCAATAATATTCCCAGTTCAGGGAATACTTCATTTTCCTGGGTTTTGTTTTTTTTTTGGCATTGCAAAAAATGGTATATTATTTTGGTATGAAATATATATTGTTATTTTCTGAACTGTATTAGTTCAAATGTTAAAATAACCTTGAAGATTTTAGTTTCGTTTGTAGAAGTTTATGAACAAAGGTTTGGAAGTCTTTGCACATTTATAACTTCTATTTCAAGTTCAAATTGGATTCCCTGACATTACTGTGATACGATGCTAACCCAATTTTGTTATCGGTTCCATGGAAATAATTGCTGCCTTATCCTATATTTGTTGACAGTATGTCCTGCATATAATAGGGCTTCTCACAAGCAACCTGCTAAAAATAGCAATCTTATTTGTATTTCAACAAGAAATGGCACTTATTTCAAGTACTATTGAATATTCAATCTATTCTCCAAAGCACCTGAAGGCAGGACAAGAAGTTATGGATGGAAACTAATTAAGGACAGAAGCAACCTAGAACTAAGGAGAAATTTCCTGACAATGAGAACAATTAATGGAAGAACTTGTTTCTAGAAGTTGTGAATGCTCCAATACTGGAAGTTTTTAAGAAGAGACTGGACAACCATTTTTCTGAAATGGTGTAAGGTTTCCTGCCTAAGCAGAGGTTGGACTACCTTCCAACTCTGTTATTCTGTTATACTTCCAAAGTTATGAATAGAGAAGTGCTACTCTGGGTGTAAGTTTTGCATCTTATACCTTTTCATCCTTATATTAACTTTTCTGCTTTTTTTTAGCACAATATTCTCTGCTGCTTGCAAGCAGTATGAAATGAAGCAGAAAATCACCCTAATGTGGATCGGATGAATCAGGGGTCTTTACATAACTAAATGCACTTTAGCAGATGGCACAGAATCCTTTAAAAAGACATTTCAGTTGTTAAATGAAATTTAGAGTGACGTCTAAAATTGTTCTTTTAGCTTTGTAAAATTCTTCATCACATCCCAAATGATATTAAAGAACATTTACACAATGGAAACTATTCTAGTGCTCTTTAACCAATTTTGCTGAGAAGCATAATAATCCAGAAAAGAGTCCACTTTTAATGTCAGAGAAGAGGAAGGTGAGTTGCATTAACCAGACCAATCCTTCTTATCACCCTCACTCTCCTGTGTTCAGAGGAGGTTACAGATCTGCATTGGAGAATCTGTTGTACTTGGAAATGAATCCAGGGCAGTGGTGAAATGTAAAATTTGTTATTATCGGTTCTGTGGGCGTGGCTTGGTGGTGGTGGGGGTAATATGACTGAGTGGGCATGGCCAACTTTTTTTTTTTTAACTTTTAAAACCATATTTTCTACAACCTCTTCGGCCAAAGAGGTTGTAAAAAATGCTTTTAAAAGCCTCTGACGATCCCAGCTGACTTGCCTGATCGGCAGAGGATTTTCTTTTTTTTTTAAAGCCTCTGACGATCCCAGCTGACTTGCCTGATCGGCAGACGCTTTTTTTTTTACTTTTAAAAGCATTTTTTCGGCCAAAGAGGTTGTAGAAAAAATGCTTTTCAAGTTAAAAAAAAGCCTCTGATGATTGTGTGGCTCAGCTGGGCGTGGGGTTGGGGAGGGATTTTTGCTACCGGTTCTCCGAACCACCCGCCGCCATCGCTACCAGATCGGACGATCCGGTCCGAACCGGGAGCATTTCACCCCTGATCCAGGGGTGGGATTCAGCCTATTCAGACCAGTTCAGACGAACTGCTAGCTCCAACAATCAGCTGAGAGCGAACCGGTTCGCTCCGACAATCAGGTGGGCCTGCTTGCCCACCTCTGTGCTATACTGACCTATATTTCCTTTGTTTGAAGCCCAGCTGACAGGCGTGGCAGAGCGGATTGCCGCACCTTAGCTGTTTTAATCAGTTTTAGAGCTGTTTTCCAACACACCGCTTAGCGAACCGATTGTTACACAGGTTGAATCCCACCACTGAATGTATCCCAGCATTTTCAAACCAGGCAGCACAGAATTACACCAAGGATCTACAAGGCGAAGAACAGACTTCCCAGGAAGGCATTCAACAGAATAGAGTAGAAATAGAATTCTTTATTGGCCAAGTGTGATTGGACACACAAGTAATTTGTCTTCGGTGCATAATCTCTCATAAGATCTTCAATTCTCCAATATTTTGGGGATGAATTGGCACATTGGAAGAGCAAGCCATGAGCACAGAATTTAGCGTTATGTGGGCTTACCCATTAATATTTATTATAATATACACCTAAGGCTTTAGAAAGGATGGAAAGCTATACTTTTGCAAACTAGCAAAAATATAGCTTTCCATCTTTTCTAAAGCCTTAGGCGTATATTATCAATGCTCAGTTGAATCTACCTGTGTCTTTTTTTTTTTTTTTTACCATTGTAAGCATATTCCTAAAGAGAGGCCTCACTGGTCTTCCATTCCTCATTTTTATTTACTAAAAATGCTGATAGAGACTAAATTCTGTTTTAATTTGGAGCATATGCCAGTTTCCTTACTAATTTTGACAATAAAATAATCCTTTACAGATTAAAAAATGGAAGGGAGAAGAGGGTCTTGTAGGTACCAAGAGAGGTTTTAACACAGAGAAAAAGGTGCATGGTGTGAAAAAAGGAATCATGTGTTTTCAAAAGTATTCGATCTCTCCATATTTTGAGGTAATCAAACAAATATAAAAATCTGCTTTTTGAGCACAGCATATAACATTTGTGAAACCTGTTCAGTGTCACTCTTAAACTATAGAATGCACATTTTCAATCTTCTCTTCTGGCTTTCAGGAAAGAGCTTGAGAGCTTTCTCTTCAGCTGCATCTTATTAGTTATTTTAATAGTTTAATTTTAATTTAATTTAATATTTAAATTTATATACCGCCCTTCTCCTGAAGGACTCAGGGCGGTGAACAGCCAGAAGTAAAAAACATCAAATACAAAATTTAAAAAACAATTTAAAATATATATTAAACAATTTGGCTCGACAGTTAAAATCCCCCATTTAAAAATCCAAATTAAAATTACACAATTGGAGAGATTAAGCCAGCCCGGCTTGATGAAATAAAAAGGTTTTGAGGGCCAACGGAAAGTACGTAAATCCGGAATAGAATTAATGGTTTTAAATTTTAAGTGGTCCGTAAATCTGGAATAGTATTAATGGTTTTAAATTTTAAGTGTTTTTTTTTTTAATCTTCATTGCTAGCATATTGAATACTTGATTATAGAAAGGATACAACTTGTAGGATTTTTTAAAATAAAATTTCTGAAAATCTCCAGTGCTATTAAAAACACAAAACTCATGGAATCTAGTCCTTCTTCCCCAAAAAATTACTCCTACCAGAGTTTGCTAAATTTTTGGTTTTTTAACTCACTAAATCAATAAGAAAAGATATTTTTCAAAAAAAAAAACAGGGAGTATTAGCACTGGGGTTTTAATCAAATAAACTAAAATGTGGTTTGTACATAGGCTCAATATAATTTGTTAAAAACTCTTGAAGGAAAAATAGCAGGACAATACCTATACTGGCTCAATCACCAAAATAAGAAAATGCTTTGGTTCCACCATTTATTTTACCATGATAATAAAAAGTAATCTGAATTATGACAAAGCTTTCCCAAGTTGTAATAAATTACTTTAAATGCTGGCATGCAGCAAAGCTGTTATCCAGCAATACAATTTAAACTCCCCCCCACCAAAAAAAAGTCAGTGGGGTTTCAGCTAAATTACATGCAATCCAAGCAACAGTCTTCTGCAAGAAAAAACTCAGTTGTCCTTGCCCGTTTCAAAGTTGCGTTATGTCCATTCTCATGTAATGCAGTCAGCGTATTAAAAGGCAGGTTTGGAGCGATAAGATTAGGAGAGAAGCGACTGAACCTGATGAGGAGATCTATATAATATAGTTTCCGGATCTTTATAAGCATTATCAGGATTCATCACAGCTGCATAGAGTTCAGTGTAAGCTCGGCAGATCAATTCTGTGGACTGTTTTATTATCTGTTGTCTAAAACACAACCAGAATTAGACATGTAAATATACAACTGATGATAACAGAATAAACAGAATAAACATAGAAAGTTCCTTGATGAGCGAGAACCTGTCCCCTTTCTTTGCAGGAAGAAAAAATGAAGGCCATCCTAATAGCTCCCTGCCTCTACTCACTGCAAATGAATACAACCTCTTGCTGTAGGCAGAAGGCAGATGCTGTTGGGCAGCAATGGCAGGATGGTCTGAGGCTCTACACAATGCAAAGTTATGTGATTTCTGGGGCCAACCTCTTCCCCCAATTATTTGGCAGCAGTGCAAAAGTTGTGCCTTGACCTCTGAAACAGCCACAAGGAGTAAGACTTTCTTTTATGAATTTGTATACACCCATACCTTTTAATGATGATGATGGAAATAAACTGTAGCAATCAGTTTAATCATTCTTCTGGGATTGCCCCCCCCCACACCCATGTCCCTTTTCTATACTGGAACAGTATACAATTTGCAGCTAAACATGTGGCTGCAGCCCCTTTATCCCTCAAACGAATGGTTAGATGTAAAATAGCTATGCAAGCAAACACAAAAGATGGCTACAATCAACTTCCTGGCAAAAGTATTGCACCCATTGAAAAGAAGAGTCTTTCAGCCAAACAATATGTTTCCAAAATGGTCCTGCTGCCTGCCTCATATAACAAAAATCGACTGAATCAGTAAGCTGTCATCCGCCAGTGCATTGGCCAGTCAAGGGCACTTGAAACATGCTTAGTCCCCAAATCAGCCCCCTCATGTTTAAGCCTTTGACTGTGATTCTTATGTAAGTCACATGCAAAGGAAAACAATGAATTCTGATTCTGTCAAAGAAAGGAAGAAAGAAACATTTTACTTACTTAACAGCTGTGCTCAGGAGAAAGTTTATCTGTGGCATTAACAGGCCATCAGGAGCAGACAAATAACGATCAAACTGGACCTGTCACACAAAGAAAGGCAGATATTAATCAATGTGTGGTCCTCAAAAGACAGGCCCATTGCTCAGAAGGCAAGAATTAGAGCCAAACACTCTTCAAATGTATTCTAATGCTCCAGGGAAGGGAGAATCTGGATGCACAAAAAGAAAGCTGACCCCCAATATACCTCAACCAAAACTAAGCTGTAGCATGGAGATGTTTCACACTAGCCCAACTCTTTGTATGAGGAAAGGGAGTCAGTCCAGCCTTGTTCTTTTTTCTCTCTTCGCATTTGCCTCATTCTAGTCACTGCTCCTCACTACGTGGGTTAATTTCCCCTCACAGAAAAAAAAACCCCTGCTCCTTAATTGTAATCCTTTATAGTTTATACATATCAATTATTATTTTTTTCCAATTTGAATTATCAACAACTGTCAAACCTAAACATATTTTGAAGTGACGCATTCCAACTTTTGCCTTAGAATGCAATTTCTGAAGTCTCTCATGTTATAAAACACTACCAAATGTACTATATCAAAATAACTTATCTGGGGGGGAAAACTGATATGAAAATGAACATGAAATCTGAATCAATGTCATGTCCTCCTTAACATCACAGGAAAATTTGTTGTTCTGTAGTGGATTAACTAGAAGTGAGTGAAGAATTAAGTTATAAAATTCCTTTACATTATAGTGAAATATCACACCCCCTCCCCAGGGTTTCCATTATTTATTAAACCCACAGAAAAAAAACAACAACCAAATCCTGAACTGAACTTTAAGAACACTTAAAGTTTTTGTTTTTTTTCCTTTCCTTTATTTCTAAAATTTTAGATCGAAAACACATTGGAATACAAATTAGCCCTCTTGTATCTAGAGAAGCATCTTCTAAACAGTGATAACACAATGACAAAGAAACTAAAACACCCACTCTCAAAATCCTATCCCAGTTTTCCTCTCTTCTCTTGTACAACAGAGAAAATGATTTATCTCACCATTGCAGCTTTTAATGACATAGAATCCATACTGGGTACATTAGCCAAGGGACCCTAAAATTAAAGCAGAGATAAATAAATGAATAAATTACATAGAATCAGTGTTTTAATGAAATCAAACCAAAAGCTACTTTGCCACAAGCCCTAAAACTGTAGCATGCTATGGATATTTATGGAATCATGCAATGATTATAGTTACTGAATTTTGGAGATGGCAGGTGCCACAAATCTCTAGATCAAATTTTGAAGTTAGTAATTTACTAATCTGGTGAAAGAAAACCAAATTAAGAGTGCTAAATAGCTAGCTATTGACTTTATGGAGGACAACTGACATATAAGTCCACTGATTAATAATGTTTTTGTAGGTATATTACCCAAAGTAATTTTGATAACATGAAATTGGGTCTTGTCTCTAACCAAAATTTCAAAAGTTTTAAGATATTTCTGTTCCAACAAGAACTTGCTTGGTTACTGGTTCTGAAATTCTGAATTACATTTATCTCAATATGTAAACTTTGCCTCTGTGAAATCGTAACCTTAATATCTCCTGTTTGTCATCCATGCTTATGCTAACATAGAGGAAAATGCTCTATCATATATTGTTCCTATAAAGGAGCATGAAGATAACTCACTGATGGAGTAATGCAAGTAATGTTAAGAGAAAACAAATAACTCAGTTCTAGCAATTATGATGAATGTGCTACAACAAGCAAGGATTCTAAGTCGAATTGAAAGCAATGATTTCACTAGCTTACAAATGTATACTTATTTGGATATATTAGTGAAGGATGAGAGAAGAAAAGAAGTGAAAGAAATAAAGAGGGAAAGTAGAATATTGCAGGAAGAGAAAGCACAAGCCGTGTATGAAAATGGATTAGAAGATTGGAAGCCACCCAGAAGATGGGCAGACATATTGTTTTAAATAAATAAACCAACAAATAAGGTAATCTCCCCAAAGAATGAAAATTGATACAAGGAAAGTGGTTACAGAATGCTGTTTAGAACAGACACAAAAGTGGTATGCTACAGAGTGCCTCAGATCCATGAGTGTGAATATAAAAAAGAGTTTATTTTTATTTTATTATAGAAAAAGCAACGGGCTTGAATTATGGAAAATTTTGTGTGAGTGTGCAGCTGAAGGCTGGTTGTTAAACTTCCATGATGGAAATAAAGTATCTATGAACATAAATGGAATATTTAGTGAATGGTTTAACATCAAGTAGGCCCTCAGTAGGGTATTCAGAAGAATAAAGGACATCCCTTTAATTGTTTAAGGTATTTATGGATAAACATATAAAGAATGCTTGTAGCAATGGAACAAATGTATTTGGAGGGGCATGAAGTACGTGCACTTTTGTACACAATTACAGTGTTAGCCGAGGACTCAAAATTATTCGTAAGAAACCTGGGGAAATGTTTATTATTAGAATGGAAAAACCAATAGCAACATTATACTATATATGAATTTTAGCAGAAAGATGGTAGACAGTATGTAAGGAATGAATGTTTATCAAAAGAAGCAGAAAATGGCTGTGTAAGAGCATAGAATTGCCATGAAGGAAAGGAGAAAGCCATACAAATTATAGTTGGGTGGCACTGGTGAGCTCCCCAAAAAGGAGAGAGGATTAAAGAAAGGGTAATGTATTACTATGTATTCATATGCTTCAACAAGAATAGTTGGCAGCTGTGAAAACATATGGAGAGATATAATGAATTGTGTTGGTATAAATCAAATTTAGCTCTATTTTTTCTTCTTATCTCATGCCTTTAATTTCTTTGGCTTACTAATTCTTACTCTTTCTGGGTTTTGCAAAATATTGCTTGCCATGAAAGGAAACAGTATGATGGGTTTTGCATGTTATGTAATTATAGCCATACACGTAAACTCCTTTTTGAAACTAAGACTTTCAGAAAGAATTATCCTTCCTGCTAAAGAAAAAGAAACCAGGAATTCTGAAGTATCTATTTAGATCCTAACTAAATATAGTAGATTTACATTTGCAGTTCAGGGTATCTGATTGAATGGAAATATTGGCTGAACAGCCATAGGAGTTTCCAAGTAACACAAATATGCAATCAAAAATAAGCAATCCAGTAACACTTACTCAGTACTGTGACAGTATTTGCACGTCATAATTATCTATTAAATAGCTAAGAAACGGAACCATTTGGCTAGTGTGCTGTATACTCCCATTGGCTCCTTCCAGGAATAGGAAGAATGGTGTATCTTACATCCATGCTTATAAACCATTCCTAATGGTTGAACATGTTACTCAAATGTAGGCTGATGGGGATGGTAGCAGGTTTCTTAAACATGAATATATTTTGCAGTCTAAAGATGTTCACATGAAAAGTTTAAATGTTAGGCAAAACACATAAAAAGAGGCTTGTCAGAAATGAGTATTGATATTGATAGTTTCCAAAATTATTGCTCACCTGCTCTGTCTTGTGTTGCTGTACCATGTTATAAATATAACTTAGACCCACTCTAGTTAATACATAAGAAGCTTGTTCATTTATAAGGGTATCCAAATGTGCTTCAATCTAAAATAAAGACAGTGAATTTTTCATTTATTGCAAAGTATTTACAGTTATCATATGTAATATATTAATTTAAAAAAACTGGTAATGAGTTTGTGTAAGTTACATGCCATGAGTCTATGGATATGTAAATTCAATCTCCCAGCTGGAGTTTATGATGTTTTGAATTGTACTATTTTTTCCCAATCATCCTACGCGTATTGCAATGGCATTTTGCACAACCTGACTAGTCAGAAAGTTAATTCCATAGTGAAATGTTTTTTGAATCCTGTCTTTGGAGATGAAGCAAACATCAATGAAGAATGCACATTTTTTAATTTAAAAAATGCAACAATATTGTTAAATTAACTGCCAAAGAAGAAATAAGAGGAATACATAAATGATAAATTGTATTTTTCACTAATGGACATAATCTTTATCAAACCCATGCATGTTCAGCTTGTAACCTTACTTGTAAATGACTGCTATTCTCCAAAATGGATGAGAAGTATGTTTTAGAGTCAGTACTGAGAACAATTCATTGTATGTATTATTTTTAATATCACAACAGGCTCTGTTCGGATAGTATCTTAGTTTAGTTAGAGGATTCTATTGTCTACATAGGTAGCTTCCTATCTTTGCATTTTGTCTGGCCTTGGAAACAACAATTAAAGTTAGGGAAGGGCAAACTCTTCTATGCATCCAACAGCTGTTTTGAAATAACCCATGGCCAGATTGAAATATGCATGTTTTAGACAGTATATAGGACAAAATATGAGTGTTTTGTTCTGGCTAAAAACTGAAATAGTTACTTTGGTGGTGGGGGAAGTGGAGTAAGAGCAGGACAAAGTCAAGACCCAATGTTTCCTTGCTGACATCATCAGGGGAGATAAAATGGTATTGGAAAAATTGGAGTGTAAAGAGGCTGGTGGGATTTTCTGTGCCCAGATATCATTAGCAGCTGAGAGGAGTCAGAGAAAGTGTAAAAGAGTACAGAGATAACCACCATTACATAAATATCAGCTTAGCTCTTTAAGAAACCATGGGGTTAAGAAAAAAAAACCCTTGATTGTCCCCTAGATTCTCTTTAGTATAAGAAGGGAGAAAATCCTTGTCAGGCTTTTAAGAGAATGTTATTGTACCTTATTGTAAAGAATCAGGAAGATGACCTTAAGAAAAATGGGCAAGAACTGTTATATAAGCAAAAACAGAAGGAATATTCTTCAAGTCCCAGGAAAAAAGATAGAAGAATCTCAGGCAGATTTCTTCCTGATTCATTGGGCTATAACAGGGTGAATAAAGCATAAAACATAATTGTGTCTTTAAGATTCTGTTACTATACTTTACCTCAATAAAGTACAGCCTTACCCACCCTTTGGAGTCTGATCTACCTCAAGGGCTGACACCTTAAAAGTAAAGCAAGGTGCTAATTGCTCATGTGATGTCTGCTTTCTGACGTTGTCTACTCAAAGGGTGGACAGGAGGGAAGACACTGGGAAGCCTGGAATGCAGGAGACTGAAGATAAATCACTTGGAAGAAGGGGGGAGAGAATGGAAGATGTACCCTAATCTTGTGCTACTAACTGTGAAATAACACCAGGATCCTCCTAGGTTTTGTTTCACCCAAAACCAAATCTCCACTTTGTGTTTTTGACAACAAAACATTTAATCAGAACTTTTAGGACGTAGTGGTTCATTTGGTTTAATCATGACTAAAACAAAGGAAGAAACCATGGTGCTGCAAACCAAAAACCTGTTTGCATCTCAGCTTAATAGGCTGCTAAAAATATGATTTAGTAAAGTTAATTATAGGATAAACATAATCAGATAAAGTCTGTAACTCAACCATCTATTGCCAAACACAGCTCAATGATACCTGCTCCTTCCACCCATCTCATAGCTGGATCTAGAAAAATCTAGGAATTTCATCTAATTACAATGTAAAATGTTTAAAAATGAAGAATCCATCTAATAAATTATCCACTGGATAGCAACTGCAATTTATGTGCGCTGTCATTTAAAAAAAAAAAAAACAGCTTGCAAATATGGCTCAGCTTTTTACGTTTCACTGCTTTGCTGCATCGGGGTTCTTAACCCCCATTAATGATTTTTTTTTGTGGCTGCATGCACCAGAGTGTTTACTTTAAATATAAAGCTGTGAGGATACACACATTTAAGAAGATTGTGTTGTATTTATTCCCTGTTAATGGTTAATGGCAAAGAAAACATCAGAAGATTGACTTTGGACATTTACCTGGTATTGTAACATTTCTAGCCTTTTATCTGTGAATTCAAACAGAGCCAGCATTGTCTTCATCATATGAAGTGAATTCACCATAAAGGTTGCCATGTCAGCAGACCCCAAGTTACTGGCAGACATAGTACACATCTGCAACAGAGGATCCAGCACACAAGACAGAACCTAGAAGAAAGCAGGAAGAGCATTACACTGACTCAGAGCAACCCTTGGGTATTTTCCCGTTCTATTACTCCCCAAAAGAAGGAAGCTAATGCTGGGGGGCGGGGAGGAGTTTGCCGGCCTTCGAACACAATTTCAGGTCTTATAAATAAGCACTGCCAGCCATTTGCTCTTCTAATTTCCACATTTCAATCCAGTGTGTTTGCCAGCCGCTTATGCAACTTTTCTACATTTAGTCATGCTTTATTTGTTAATGTCAGAAAAGGATGTTGCATAGGAAAATTGCGTAGGCATAGCCAGTCCAAAGCAGAAGTGATAAAAACATAGATAGCTGATGATGCTTGTTGATGAGGCTTGCAGTATCCAAGCTATTCTGGGGGGTGGAGCTTGAGGGAAAGTTCAAGTTGCAAGAATGCAATTTTAATGGCAAATGTTCAAAACAACTACCTACTCGTTCAGCACAGGCTGCTTGCCAAAGGTGGGGATCGTTTTCCCCGTTGTAAAACTCAACAAGTATCCACCAAGTTTGCCTTTTGAAGACAGTGGGCTTTCCCCAATCTGAATGGAGTCAGTATGTTTCTTCCAAAACTTGAATACTGGATCATCATATGACTGACCTAATCTTATCACTTCTTATTTTGAGATGTTAAGCAAATCACCATGGACATTAAGTGAATCTATGGTTGTTGAGCAGATACTGAGACTGTTAAGCAGACCTATTGTTTGCTATGGGGTGTTTTGGCCAAAAAATAGAAATGCCAATTTTTGGCAAAAAAACAAAAACAAAAAAAAACCCTATTAAATCACAGTGCTGAGGATAGCGGGATGCTGCAAACACCTATAAGTGCAGGCCAGCTGTCAAGCATCCAAAATATGCTCTTGACTGGAGTGGGGCAGTTGTAACTCTGGAACTGGGTTTTAAGTACCTTGGCAGCGGCAAGGAGGGAGATGTCTAACTCTGAACAGTTGCTAAGTGACTATGCTACAAGTATGTCAAGCACTACCTGTAGCCCAATTTACAGAACTTAAATTTTAGAAAATGACAGTGTTAAAATCTGCAAAATGTACTCCAAACAATTTTGAAGACAGGCTATTTCTTTGGGGGGGGGAGAAGGTCAAATACATTATTAATTCTAGAGACTCTATAATTTAGCTTTCAAAATGAGCTTAGAAAAGTTAGCATCCACCAACTAATGCCTGTTCTGTATTATTCTATCAAGAGATGGAATGGAGCCTGATCTCCTGGGTTACAGGAGAGGAGAGGCTTATAGCTCTCTCTTCCTGAGTTTAGAGGACAGAGTATCGGAGTAGCCTGTTCTCTGCTTTTGAAGCCAGAGAGGCAAGCTTGGCATTTAATTCGACTTAGTTCCTTGGTGAGACTAGCAAACACAGCCAAAGATTATAGAAAGGATTAACTACTATTACTGATCAAATTTTAGGCAGCTTCCTTTTTTGAGAGAGAAGTAACATATAAAATGCGAAATAGTGAAACAAACGCTGCCATCTTTTCCACATCCTTAGTGAAACGACTGGCAATTAGCAGGATTATGTTCATACAGATAAGATGAAATGAACATTAATTTACTTGTCCAAAGTCTGTTTGACGAGTATCCAAAGGAATAACACAAGAGTCATGGGATGATAGTACTTCACGCAGCAGAGCAAGTGTTTGATTCAGTGCAGGACTTGGACCAAGGTCTGCAGGTGGCAGTTCAACCTACAAAAGGAAGCAAAGTATCTGAGTTCAGAAGATGTGTTTATATTGAAGCCTAGGTACACAGAGGAACAGAATAGTAATCAAAAACTCCGCAAATAAATATATTATGGTTTATTAGAACAATGTTCTCCAATCTGGTGTCCTTTAAAAGATTTGGGCTTCAACTCTAATAATTTCCAGCTAATGTCGCCTTTCAGTTTGGGAAGACCATGGGGTATACAACATGAAAACGGTTACACATACTTGTCTATTTACAATTTTTGTAATCTACTACAATCCAAAGACTCTGGTGATCACCTAGACAAGCAAATAAAAAATCTTTAAGCAAACATGAAATCCAGAAGGTTCCAGATTGGGGAAAAGAAATTACAATTTACAATATGTCAGCAACAATCCTTCAAACTCCCACCTAGTTTGAAAGAAAAAAGTGGAAAAAAGGAAGCCATGATGCCAATGACAGCCAATCAGGTTCTGCCACGCCTTCAAACAGCCCATCCCAAGCGGCTCTTGCTATGGGTGCCACCTCTGTAAAAGTGGTAGCTAGAGTGTAGAAGCAAATTGGAGAACAGGATAGATAAGATCTGTGACTGACAAGCGTGCTGATTGACACAAGAAGCAGAGGTATGTAATGCAAAATAAATGAGTTTGAGGATAACTTCTCAGTATAGCACAGATCAAGTTTCCCAAATTACTGAGCAAAGGATTTGTTGGTGACTAAAACTGAGAAATGCAACCCTGAAGTCAGCCTTTTGTAGTCCTATATATTTAGCAGAAGAGTATGTATGTAAACTGTTTTTCAAACAGACCTTATCCAGCAGTTTACTCGCATGGAGACTCAAACTATTGAAGAATATCTTCTTGCTCAAAAGGTGCATCTCTTCTATCGTAGTTAACAGCATGGCTGCACTGTTTCCTATAATATTACTGAAATTGAAAATAAAAAGTATGTGTATGAGACAGGGAATAAGAAAATTTATTTGATTCAGAGATTAGAAGGTGCAACTATTCCATCTAGGAAGAGACTTTTTTAAAAAAGGCCAATTATATTTGTAAAATGTTATGCCTTGCAATAACGAAAAGTTGTCTCTCCCCTCAGTTCTTCCTTTCTATGTTTCTCAAGAGCCAGAAGGAAGTTCACCCTGGGAAAACTACTATGTCATCATGAAGCAAGACTATGACTGAAGCTGGGAGAAAGTTGCCAGGGCAAAAAAAAAACACAACAAGCAACACCATCTCCATTCCAGGCTAAAGCAAAATCTGCTCACTTTTGAAACAGATTTAAAGGACACTGAGACAAATGACCACCTACTCAGAAATTCTCCTCAGAAAAAAGAAAAGTGGGATATAATCAGGGTAGAATTTCAGATCTGAACCAAAAGGGAGACTATTTTTTTTTTAGTATTTTTATTTTCCTTCAAGAGCATGGTCTGCTTCCCCCCACCCACCCCCACTGGATCAACCAAGTGTGGACCAAGTGTAGATCCATTGGTTGTGACATAAATTGACCAACTGGCTTGTCACCTGAGCCTTATATAATAGGATGAGACAGAATGACTGGCCCAAAGTCACTCAGCTGGCTTTCATGCCTAAGGTAGGACTTGAATTCACAGCCCCTGGATTTCTAGCCTGGTGCTTTAACCACTAAGTCAAACAGCTCTCTAAAACTCCATCCTAAAAGTCTGTCTTGTTCAGTGATACAGAAATACATTTTATACCATTTGCTAAATTTATCAGTTGACGGCTAAGGGCTCCCCACCATTCTTCTCTTAGAGGCCTCTTCTAGAAGGCCACAAAGAAGCTGTCTTTTCCCAAATCACATAGGCCTATCTCCAGTTCAATGGGAGATGGAAGTATTTGGAAAGAGTGGAGTATCTAATGGGATTATCCACTGAGGTTCCATAAAATTTAATATTGTCACTGATACTGTTTAAATATGATCAGAAACTGCTACCGTATTTTTCTGAGTATAAGACGCACCTTTCCCCCCCCTAAAAGAGGGTGAAAATTTGGGTGTGTCTTATACACCAAATGTAGCCAGCCCAGCTTCTGAAACGGATGTGTCAGAGGCTGAAAAAGCAAGGTGCAGAGCTCACAACTAATGAACCTGTTGCTAAAGTTCACCTCTGGGAACAGCTGATTGAGGGTATTCCGGGAGGCCGATCCACCTGCCAATCAGCTTTTTTCTTATTTTCCTCCCCAAAAACTAAGATGCGTCTTATACTCTGGTACGTCTTATAGTCCGAAAAATATGGTAAGTGCTGATGGCATAAAGCTATGTAACAAGAGAACATGCCAGATATTACAATATCTCAATGCCAGATATTACATTGCAAAGCAGTATAGGGACATTGTGTTATACTACAATGCAACCCTGTAACCCAACCAGTTCTTCCCAAAACGATCTTTTAAAAATTTGCTTACCTAATGGTGTGATGATAAAATTTGAGAAGATTACAAATTTTATACAGAAGGACTGCGCCAGGTTCAGCTATAATCACCTGTTCAATTCGAACCTGAGGAAACATTTTTAAAACATACTGTTCAAATACACATTTCATCTTCAAGAAAATAACAATGTACAATTTTAAGATTACAGTATTCCTTTTAAGGCTAGCAACCTCTGTAGGGATATATACTGCACGTTCATTATTTAATTTCGTTTCACATAATAATGAAAGATGCAATCTCCTTGGGAAATAAGCAATCCACAAGGTTCCTTTTTATGCAAGTAAATATGCTATTATTTGTAAACTGCTTTTTCATTCCTTGTTTCTTAATATATGGGGCTGATGAAGTTTTAATACCAAGGGTTTTCATAAAACCAAACATTTCACCTTGAGTGGCCGGCAAACTCCTTCTGTGATGTGCCCAACTATTTCTTGCATATTTTCTTCCACTCCTGAAAATAAAAACAGTGTACATTAGAAATAGGAATGTTAGTTCCTGTCATTTAGAAAGAAGAAATTCAACCACTGAATTTCTTTTCCCCAAAACAGTGCTTCTCCTAAAGCGGCAAAAATTCCACATTCTTCCTGCAACATTTAGCTTCACCCCATATGTAATCTTTAGGACAGAAAAATCCCAGATGAAATTCCTCTCCTCGGAATCCTGCCTCAGAAGATCCCAAACCCACAATTCTTGGCTTTCTACAATACCTTCTGTGGTTATGTGTTTCAAGAGAGCCTCCAGGTGCTCTTTTTCAGAAGCAGTAGCCTGATGCAGCCAAGCCAACATGTCTCCCACATATCTAAAGCCAAAAAAAAATTCTATTAAAAATGAATCTTCCTTTTCATAGTAATTAATGCTATAAATGTGCAATGCCGCAAGTAATGTACCTCAAAGGATCATGTGAATGCATTTCAATTGGTCGAGGTGTTCCTCCTGGACCTCCTCTAGTAAGAGCATCTATAAAGCCCCGGACCACAGTACTTCTTCTGGCTGTTCCAAACTCATCAAGAGTATATCTACAATGGGGGGTGGGTGGGTGGAAATATGCACTTACAAGTTATGGACATTTTAGTTGCCCTCTTTAGTGATCAAAGGGTCTTGTTTTATGGAAATGCAAGACTATTATACATAAAATTCCACATCCTAAATAATTTACCAGCAGATGCCCAACACCAACATATTTTTAATGGCCACCAAATAATGTGAAAACTTTGTTGTCATGCTTCAGCATGCAAACAGAAACTTACATTTCACAACCTAAGAAAATAAATTATTTATTCTGTTTCAACTATCATTTTCATTAGGATTCAATATAAAATGGGAAATTGCAGAAATTACATAAATTGGAAAACATAGGCATTCAGGCCACTATCAAACTGCCTGAAAACAAGTAAAATGATTTGTTTACTTGCTTTAAAGCAGTGGATAATAAGCTCACTGGAACAAGTTGTAACCATTATTTGTTCTAGCAATAGCCAGGACAATTCCGGAAGAAACATTTAAAAGAGCAAAGTATGCTATAAAAAAGACTTTTATAAATTAATGTTTATATTAATAAACAACACAATTCCACTTTTAATTTCATATTAATTTTCATAATTCCAACTGTAATTATATTTTAATTCAGCAAAAAGCATCTATTGGAAAAAACAAGCCACTCTATACTTTGATTCAACATCAAAATACTAAGTCTTTAAAAATAGCACAGGTCCCTTAATCTTTTTGAATGATTGCACTGTATGCTGTATGTGAATATTGCCTGATGCTTTATTGTTCTTGCAAAATGGATGAGGAGAATCAAAGGGGAAGTGACTGTAGTTTTGGTGAGAAACTCATTATCGCTTTCTATCCTTTGGAATCCAAAAACCCTTCACTTTTAATACTGGAATACATTCTAGTATTAAAAATGAAGGTTTTCATAAGAAGAAACATCAACTGGGAACAAAAGTTAAGGAATATATCTGAGGGAAATTCATCTTCATTTTTAAGACACCTAAGGAATATACTGTACCTATTAATTTCAGTGAGGTATGTATTTTAGTGAGGTACCATATTGTATCCAGATAAGGCAGCTGTTGATATGGTCGTGATAGACATTCCAATACTGCCACCTTGTGGTAAATCTTAAATATATCTATATTCTTCTCACAAGATGTCAAAAAGAAAGGCATCAATTGTATCACTCATAATATCTAAATAATAAATAATGCAGAGCACATCATTAGACTTCTGGGCCATTTCTATGAATGCCTTTGTTGTGACCTATATAGATCCCTAAAAAGTATCTCTAAAAGTAATGATATAAATTTAATTTAATTTAATTTAATTTCCAATTTATATACCGCCCTTCTCCCTGAGGACTCAGGGCGGTGTACAGCCAAGATAAAAAAAACATAGAATACAAATATTAAAACATTTAAAAATATATATAAATTTTGGCCCGAAAGTTAAGAATCACAAACTAATTAAAAGAATTTAAAAGTTTCTTCTAAGCCAACCCGGCTTGCTGAAAAAGATAGGTTTTCAGGGAACGACGGAAGGCATTGAGATCATGGATTCTTCTTATCTCCGGGGGCAACTGATTCCAGAGGGTGGGAGCCCCCACAGAGAAGGCCCTCCCCCTGGGGGCCACCAGTCTACATTGTTTGGCTGATGGCACCCTGAGGAGGCCCTCTCTGTGGGAGCGCACGGGTCGATGGGAGGTCGTCGGTAGCAGCAGGCGGTCTCGGAGATAGCTAGGCCCTATGCCATGGAGCGCTTTAAAGGTGATAACCAACACCTTGAAGCGCACCCGGAAGACCACCGGGAGCCAGTGCAGCTCGCGCAGGAGCGGTGTTACATGGGAGCGCCATGTTGCTCCCATCACTACCCGCGCTGCTGCATTCTGGACCAGCTGGAACCTCCGGGTGCTCTTCAAGGGGAGCCCCATGTAGAGAGCATTGCAGTAGTCAAGGCGAGAGGTGACGAGGGCGTGAGTGACTGTGCACAAGGAATCCCGATCAAGAAAGGGCCGCAACTGGCGAATCAGGCGAACCTGATAAAAGGTCCCCCTGGTAACAGCCGTCAGATGTTCCTCCAAAGACAGCTGCCTATCCAGGAGGACTCCCAGATTGCGAGCCCTTTCAGTGGGGGCCAAAGACTCGCCCCCAATAGTCAGCGATGGAGTCAACTGACTATATCGGGATGCCGGGAGCCACAGCCACTCAGTCTTGGAAGGGTTGAGCCTGAGCCTGTTCCTCCCCATCCAGATCCGCACAGCCTCCAGGCACTGGGACATCACTTCAAGGGCATTGTTAGGGTGGCCTGGGGTGGAGATGTACAGCTGGGTGTCATCAGCGTACTGGTGGTATCTCACCCCAAAGCCACGGATGATCTCGCCCAGCGGCTTCACATAAATGTTGAACAGAAGGGGCGAGAGGACCGATCCCTGTGGCACTCCACAGATGAGAGGCCTCGAGGTCGACCTCTGCCCCCCTGCCAACACAAACTGCGACCGGTCGGAGAGAAAGGAGGAGAACCACCGCAACACAGTGCCTCCCACCCCCAACTCTTCCAGCCAGTGCAGCATGATACCATGGTCGATGGTATCAAAAGCCGCTGAGAGATCTAATAGGACCAGAACAGAGGAATAACCCCTGTCCCGAGCCCTCCAGAGATCTTCCACCAACGCGACCAATGCCGTTTCCGTGCTGTGCCCAGACCTGAAACCCGACTGGAACGGATCTAGATAGGATGTTTCCTCCAGGAATTGCAGAAACTGTTGCGCGACCACACTCTCAACAACCTTCGCAATGAAGCGAAGGTTGGAAACAGGACGATAGTTGGCCAATATTGCTGGATCCAGGGACGGCTTCTTGAGGAGAGGCCTCACCACCACCTCTTTCAGGGCAGCGGGGAAGTGACCCTCACTCAACAAAGCATTAATGACGCCCTGGAGCCAGCCTCGTGTAACCTCCCGGGAAGCCAGTACCAACCAGGAGGGACACGGGTCCAGTAAACATGTGGCCGCACTAAGTCTCCCCAAAATCCTGTCCACATCATCAGGAGTCACAGCATCAAACTCCTCCCAGATAACATTCTCAAGACTGTTCCTCGTCACCCTGCCCTGATCTACCCAGTCAGAGTCCAGATCGCCCCGGATCTGAGCGATTTTGTCATACAGGTATTGTCCGAAATCCTCCGCCCTGCCTTCTAAGGGATCCTCCCGCACTCCCAGATGGAGCAGGGCGCGGGTCACCCTAAACAGGGCGACCGGACGATTCCCTGATGACGCAATAGAGGCGGAAAAGTAGTTAGACTTTGCCGTCTTTATCGCCACTAGGTTGGCCTTAATATGCGACCTTACCAGTGTTCGATCAGATTCAGCGAGACTGGCCCTCCAACCGCTCTCCAGGCGTCTTTTCCGGCGCTTCATTTCCCTCAGCTCCTCAGTAAACCAAGGAGCCGCACGGGATCGGCATCGGGTCAGAGGCCGCAAAGGCACAACTCGGTCCAAGGCCCCACCAGCCGCCCGATCCCAGGCGGCTACCAGGTCCTCGGCCGAGTCATGTGCTAGATCCTCAGGAAATGGCCCAAGCTCCGTCTGGAACCTATCAGGATCCATCAGGCGCCTGGGGCGGATCCATCTAATTGGGTCCGCCTCCCTGCGGCGAGGGGTCGCGGTTCGAAGATCTAGGCGAAGGAGTGAGTGGTCAGTCCATGACAAGGGTTCCATGTCTATATCCCCTATAACAAGACCACTCAATCACTGGCCAGAGACAAAAATCAAATCCAGCGTGTCACCTCCCCTGTGAGTAGGGCCATGAACTAACTGGGTCAGGTCCATGGCCGTCATGGAAGCCATGAACTCCCGAGCCACCTCAGACGTTTCACCAACGGATGGCAAGTTGAAATCACCCATGACTAAAAGCCTGGGTGTATCTACTGCCACTGTGGCTATCACGTCGAGTAGCTCAGGTAGGGCTGTTGCCACGCGGCAGGGAGCCAGGTACGTAAGCAACAAGCCCATCTGAACCCCACGGCCCCACCTCACAAGGAGGGACTCACATCCGGCTATCTGAGGCACAGTGGTCTCCCTCGGACCCAGATCCTCGTTAATAATAACCGCCACCCCCCCGCCCCTCCCCTGGGCCCTCGGCTGATGGAATGCTCTGAAGCCTGGTGGGCACATTTCAACCAGAGGGACGCCACCCTCCGGGCCCAACCAGGTCTCCGTAATACCCGCCAGGTCCGCTCCTCCCTCTTGTATAAGATCGTGAATGAGGGGGGCCTTATTGACCACGGACCTGGCATTGCACAGCATCAGCCGAAGGCCCAGCTCCTCAGTATCTAAGCCACCTAGTATCCGAGCAGAGCCTTGGGGACCGGGGCAAGCAATTGCTCTCAGACAGCAAGTGCAAGCCCCCAACACCTGATGTGGTCCCCTGCTCCCGCCATATCTGCCCCTCCCATTCACCGTGCCGATGGTACAGCCCTCATAGATATCGTCCCCCATCCCTTTCCCAATCCCTCGTCCAGTGCCCCCCGGATCGTTACCCTGTGCTGGGCACGGCTCTGACCCTGGTGGATTTCCCCCCCCCATCCGCCATAGTCATCTTCCCAGTATCTTTAAAAGAATAATTACAACCCCCCCCCAGAACCCCTTAAAATCTTTAAAAATTTCCCTAAAAAGCCCCATAAATTCTTCCTTGCTCCATGCCATCTCTCCGGACTCCAAAGTCCGTCATCGAGATAGGCCCTCGATAATGTGGGGGGCCAAACCTGCGAGAGGGGAGAATCTCGCAGGACGAGGAGTTCCGACACCGAATACATATAGCCATCAGGGGAAACAGTCCAAGGGTGGGGGACCACTGATGTTATAAGCGTAGGGAAAATTCCAGTCCATGGTCAGGCTGCCAAGCTCCACTGTCCTCTCACGACAGTGGCTAAGGAGGTGCATATCATTCGACCCCGAAAGTTTCCAGGGCGGCCGTCTCTCACCAGGCCAATCCATGGAGACTTTGATAGAAAGCTCAAGGGTGAGGATAGCCATATTCCGCCTCCTCAGGCGGAACCAAATGAAATAATTAGGAAGTAAACGTATTAACTGCATTTGATTGTTAATTAAATTGAATTTTAATAAAAATTAAATTAATTTTTCTTGACTTTTACATTTCTTTCTTCTATTTTTTTGGAATGTTACCTTTGGCATGTGATCTATAGATTAAAAAATCTTATTCATCGCAGCTTCCAGAGTGAGGGAAAAAAGGCAGATCAATGTGCCTCTATGAACAGGGAAGACAACGTTGTGGCAAATACCAGTAGCCTGGCATTAAATCCAGAAGACTGCCCCCTTGTAGTCCAAAAGGTTGCTCCTCACAAGGAAGCCCACAGGTACCACCACCCCCTACCACCTTGGTCTAATTGCCAGGAGCCATGGAATAGACAGCCATAGGTCAGCCTAAATGGGTTTGCACCCTCCACACTTTTTAAAAACACATTTGGAAAACAATGACCTTTTTAAGTTTAAAGTATCTTTGGAGCAGCAGAGTAGTCAAACTACTCAGTGAATGTTCCTTTATTTTGGATTAAAGATAAAAGCAAAGAAACAATTTAAAGGATTTAAAAACAATTAAAAATGAAAAGATTGCCAAGAGTTTAAACTAAGAAAGTTTAAAACAAAGTGAAGAGTTGAATCTAGAATTATTGAACAAAGTATTTTTGAAACAATTAAACAATGAATATGTATTTCTCTGGGAAAGAGTTCTATTTGAATAGATTAGCTTTGCAAAACAAAAGATAAAAGTTGCTAAAGCCCATATGACTAAAGAACTATGGAATGTTGAATAGGACTAAAGGTTTAATGATCTGGAGCAGGGGTGTCAAACTCGATCATGTCGCAGGCCGGATTGTGACATATCGCAATGTTTTTTGGCTTTGCAGAGCCAGGGTGGGCGTGGCCTGCACGGGCCATATCCAGCCCGCAAGCTGCTAGTTGGACAGGCCTGATATGGAGAAAGAGGGAGAAAAGAAAAAAGAAAAATGTCTTTATTTTTATTTCTCCTTTCTCGATTGGAATGGCTCCTACTAGCAAAATAGTGAAACTTACAGAGATGACAGAACAAGGTATTACACTTGAGACATTCCAAAGGATCTTTGAGGAACAGGGAAACAAAGTTACAGCTAAATAACAGCATCAGTAACTGCTTACGTGAATGTATCACTTAAAAGAGATCTGAAAGCAGAGATGAAAAATAATTCTGAAGAAGTTGCAGGACAACTGAGTGGAGAAGTGAAACAAATTAAATTTAAGGTGAACATTTTGAAAAATAAAGCAGAAATAATGGCAAGCAAATACAAATATCAAGTCAAGAGATGAAATATAGGCAATGGACTATTACAGGATTTAGAAAATGCCTAATCTTGTTTCAGACCAGGGGTTCTTAGAGATCAATTTGATGAAAACTGTAAAGAGAGCATTATTGAGGTCTAAAAAACATTAGGATGAGAGGAAGAAGATGTAGAAGGAATCAGGTCCTATGACCTCTTAATATGAAATTAAGGATTGATAATGCCAAAATACTACTTAAGAAAAAAAAAATCAAAATTAATTTGTTTGACCAGGCTAAGGTAATACGTGTTTTTTATAAAATACTGGAAAACTTTTCTGGGCTTTCTGCTGAAAATGGATTAATGTCTGAGTTAACGACTTGGATTTGCCATTAGAAAAGGGTTGGAAATGGGAAGAAGTGATCTATGCAATGTAATTTCAAAGGAGAGGAGTTAAGTTTGTTTGTAACTGCAATTAGTGAAGTTATGCCTATGAATCAGTGGTGAAATGTAAAATTTGTTACTACCGGTTTTGTGGGCGTGGCTTGGTGGTGGTGGCGATAATCTGACTGAGTAGGCGTGGCCAACTTTTTTTTTTAACTTTTAAAAGCATTTTTTCTACAACCTCTTCAGCCGAAGAGGTTGCAGAAAAAAATGCTTTTAAAAGCCTCTGACAATCAGGCAACTCAGCTGGGATCGTCAGAGGCTTTTAAAAGCTTTTTTTTTTTCTACAACCTCTTCAGCATTTTTTTGGCCGAAGAGGTTGTAGGAAAAAATGCTTTTAAAACTTAAAAAAACAGCCTCTGATGATAGCGCGGTTCAGCTGGGCATGGGGGGGGGCGCGTGCAGGGATTTTTGCTACCGGTTCTCCAAACCACCCGCTGCCATTGCTACCGGATCAGGCGAACCGGTCTGAACCAGGAGCATTTCACCCCTGCTATGAATATAAAATGTTTTACAATAGTTGTCATCTTGATTTTCTGGTTTAGCAGTTCCCAAATTTTCATTCAGTCTCTATTTTATAGTGAGATTTCTCTTCTATTGATTACTGGAACCAATATCTATTATTTAGCTTTCGGATCCGATCAAATTTCTAGAATTCAGTCTCTATCGTTATATAAGGGATTAATAAAAATTTAGGTGGGGAGTAGGGAAAAAATACGATATTTCAGCAAGTCATGTATCAATTCCTGTATTAAATATTCTATTTAAATATTCTATTAATTCTATTAAGTTCTATTCAATTCTTGTTATATCTCTATTAACTCTTACCGATTTAAAACAATCCAAGGAAAGGAAGAATCTGACTACTATCTGGTTTGGCAAAGGTGGTATCAATGGTTGGAGATAAAGAAACCAAACAAAAAAGAGGATTCTAAAAGAGTAAAATAAAATTCCGTACCAAATGAGATTTAACAACGAATAACTAAATATCAATAAAATAATATTGTTATATAAGCCGAGAGGAAGGAATATATATTGAGGAATATAGGTTATCGATGTCGTTAGGAATCTGACATTACGGTTAGATGTCATTAATGTTATTAATGTTGTGTATTGTTTTATTTGTACTTGTATGTGTATGTGTATGTGTATTTTGTGTGTTTTTATAATTAATAAAAAAAAATGTTTTACAACATACCCACAAACTTGAGTCTTTCCTCAACTTTAACAGGTAGTTTTCGACCTATGACCGTTCATTTATTTAGCGATTGTTCAAAATTACAAGGGAACTGAACAAACAATGGTTACAACCAGTCCACGCATTTCTGGCTGTCTCAGCATGTCCACAGCCATGTGATTGCAATTTGGCCACTTGGCAACAGGTTCACTGTTGCAGTTGGTTGCAGCATCCTGCAATCCCGTGAGCTCCTCTTGCAACCTTTCCGGATAGCTTCTCTCAAGAAAGTCAATGGGGCAGAGAAAGTTGCAAGCGACTGGAATAAGCCCGCCCCAATTTTCACTGTACCTCCCTCATACCCCTTACATACCCTCTTGCACACCCATGCATTCTTCCCAACCTGTACCCCCCGCCCCATGCCTCTTAGGCACCCCTTTGCAGCCTTGTGCACCTGCCCTGACCAAACGTCTTGCACAGCCCAACACCCTCATGTACATTCCCGACCTGCGCAACCTCAAACATCATTCTTGATCTTCACTACTCACACCCTGTCATTCCCTTCCCTATCTGGCAGCAGTCACTACCCTACCTGCCAGTCTGGGGCTCGCAACTTGGGGCTTGCTTCCCCACTGACTTTGGTGATTTGCCTGAATCACTTTCAAATCATTTTACCAGTGCTCTATGGCAAATTCATACATATTCTCAATGGTAGCCCTTGTTTCTTATTCTGGAGAAATTCTGTCTAAATAGTCACTTAGAATTGAGACAAACTTTATCACAAACACATACATCCCACCATAGTCATATTAATTTTCTCCACATATTCATGCTTGGTTAACTAAAGCAGAAACTTACTTATACAGAACAGGCCTGTCTTGCAAAGCTTCCATTGCCTGAGCTAGAACTGGAGAAACATCACAGGTTTCTTGTGTTAAAGCCCTGCATTCACCTGTAAACAAGCCAGCAGTCTGATGTCAGTATTAGTAAGGATTCGACAACATTTCTCTCCTCATTTCATTGATAAAACTGAATCCTAGAGAAAATATTACATTTTTATAGTGCCCTTTCTTAGAAGCCACGGTCTAAATTCAGCTGCCCTGGTGAAGTCTAGTTAGATACAACTATACTTTGCCACTCTGGCAGAAGCCCTCTGTATATTTAGGAGTAGTTGTCCACCCTTCATGTAGGTACTTATTATGGGAAACACAACGACAGCCACAAAGTAGCTGTGGAAAACACCATGGCTATATAAAACAAGCAAGGCGGGGATGCAGACATTTTCTGTCTACAAACAGGCAACAAAACCAGACTTTTTAGGGAAAGACAATGGCAGTGGTTGTTCATGTCTAGACAGAGGGGAAGAATATGTGCAAATTGTCTTCAAGCTGAAAACCAATATTAACAAACCATCAATATAAAACCCACCAATTTCAGGATGGGAGAACTACATGACTGACAAAGCAGAGATATAAGAACTACCTGATTAATAAAGCAGCTTTAAATTCTACTGTTGTTTAAAAACAAGGAAATCAACCCTGTGTATCAAAATATTATCTTCTTTAAAGAAGCCCCAGTGGCGCAGTGGTTAGAATGCAGTATTGCAAGCTAATGCTGCCCACAGTCTGGAGTTCGACCCTGACTGCCTCAAGATATCCTTCTGAGGTCAGTAAAATGAGTACCCAGATTTTTGAGGACAATACGTTGACATTGTAGACTGCTCAGAGAGTGCTGTAAAGCATTATGAAGGGGTGTATGTCTAAATGCTATTGCTATCTTCTTTAAATTACACAATATATGCTTCTAAATTTTGATTAACTCTGAAATTTAGGTAGATTATTAGGTACAGAAAAGTAGCTTTTGAGATTCCTAAATAGATTTCGGATTATAATAGTGTTACGATGGCACCAGCAAGTGTGAACTGATTTGCCAGAAACTGCCTTAACATGCAATCTTATACATTTTGAAGAAAATGTACTATTCAGATTGCTGTAATTGAGCATAGAGCAGTAGCTACATTTACTCATGCCATATAGACTGCTAAAAGCCACCTAACTCCATCTACAAGAAAGAATATTTTAATTGAAAAAAAAATTAAAATAACTACAATACCTTGGGCCCAACGATACAGCTGTTCATAAGAAGTCTCCTGGAGGAGTGCCATCTGTTCCATAATCTCCAGGCTGCAGATTTAACATGTTTGAAGTCTTTACCAAAAAGTGAATATCAAGAAGCAAAAACATCTAAACCCATATGGCTTTACACTTGTCTTCATGTTTTTGTTTTCCAATATATATCTCAATATGTTAAAAACTCAATTTAAGAGATTTTACTTAGTTGATAGTTCCAGTTGCTTTATACAATGTGAACTCACCCTGATCTTTGTTGACTGGTGCGCAGAAGAATCTTGACATCATTGTGAATTTGCTTTATTCGTCTCAATACTTTAAAAAAATTCTTTAATAAAAAAAAGTTCAAAATTAAAAGCTATGATATTTTACTCAAACTAACTTGGTTTCATAGCTATAGTACATTCAGATAATCATACTGCAGCACGCTTGGTACTTGTATTGGAACTACAATATTCAGAATTCAACCCCAGCTGGCTTGAAATTTGGGGACTGATGTTTCATGCTAGCAGTATAGTATTTAAAACTCAAAACGGTATTACAAATTCAGATGGGTTTAAACTTGAAACATTTTGTACATTTATAACATAGAGAGAGACAGCGTCATACAGAGAGGATCTGAACTGTGTTTTATGTTATTACTTTTGACGGTGATAAAAAATATATTGGTTTTGTTCCCTTTTTTAAAAAATAGTAATGGCAATATATACATTGTCTAAGACAGGGATGGGCAATTGTGGCTCTTTTACAACCTGTGGACTTCAACTCCCAGAATTCCTAAGCTGTCTCAGGAATTCTGGGAGTTGAAGTCCACAGGTTGTAAAAGAGCCACAATTACCCACCCCTGATCTAAGAGAAAAAAATAAAGAACACTAAAAAGTGCTTTAACAAAAAAAAGTAAAAAATATTACAAAGAAAAAATTGTTACATTGGCATGTCAATATAAGTTACAATTCTATATATACTTGTCTAATGCAAATATTCATGTATGTAAATGTTTCTAATACATTTATATGTACTTTTTAAAAAAAATATATTCTGTATAAGAGAGTCCCATATTTCATTATAATTGTCTATTCAAATTTTGTATCTGTGTGTAATCTGCTCATAAGTGGCAAGTGCCATTAGGTCTTCATTGGTTTTGCTCCCTTTGGAAACAGGTTCTTCAAATGCAAGAGACTATAAGGAAGACACCATCTCATTATTGTCAGAGTGTTTACAGCATGACTACTATTTTGGTAGGCACATACCAGGCAAGCAATCATTCTACTCTACACCGAGAACTACAATGCAGATAGAACACGGCGAGGAAAATGATACACCAGAGAGAGACGCCCTCTAATGCCTCCTTTATATAGACAGCTTCTTAAAGGGCAATAACCCTGCTGACTCACCCTCAGTCTTAAAGGGGCTGGTCAGCTTTAAATCTTCATTTCCCTGACAATTATATACTGAATGACTGTGAACTCAGAACTGTCACTCAAAAACATACAATTTAGAAACCAAAGCAAATTGACTTCGCCCATTCCAGACCTGTTCAATGTTGTATTCCAAATAGGCTACATTGAGCCAGAGTTTTGTAGTTTGAAATAAGGATTGCTGTACAGCATACTTCCTTTGTGCCGTATTATTTGCTACTGTGGCTAAAGGTTAAGCATACCATAGCATTTTATTGCTGTTTGCTAGGGAGAACAGTTTCCCTTTGTTTCAGTAACAGCCTCTGTTTGAAGCTGATTATTTTATTAGGTACAACGGACTAACAACAGGAAAGAGAAGAGACAATATCACCCAGTTGAGTACAGTAGGCAATTACAATCCAAACAATTATTTCCAAGGATACAGCTAAACAGTATTATGTAGTATCAAGGTATTTTCACCACTTCCACAGTGGACATTGCGAATTTCAGTCATGGCCCTTCTCCTCACAAATGATTATAATCAATTCTCATGTTATGAACACTTCCTAACTACTCCCATCTCTGGATTACAGAAGATTCTTTTACATAGGCTCTTCTAGCCAGAATCTTTGCAAAGGATAGAGTTCTTATATGTCTGCTTTGGAAAGTTTTCCTGCAAGTAGCACAATTATTCATAAGATCCAAAGAGAAACTGGTGATCATAAAATGAAGTCTTTTTATTTAACATAAATTGAATTATGAATTGAATTAAATTGAATTAAAGGAGGTTACTGTATGTATTTTAGGATGCTTACTTCAGTAACTGGCCCATCTCTGGTGCATCGAAGGACGTTAATCTCCTCTGGAGAAAGTTGGAATTCTGCTGTGAAAGCATCTGCTATTTGTGCTTTTAATTCTAACCTTTGGCTGCAATAAAAAAATTAATTCAGTTCATGACCATTATAATTTGTTCCGCATAAGCTTAGGATGTGGCAGCCATTCAAACAGAAAAGTCTTAGAGGGTGTACTTTCATCTTCAGAACAGGAACAGGAAAAGAAAAGGAGATGGACATAAGGGGAAGTAGGAGGTTACAGGTAGTCTTTGACTTGCAATCAAAACTGAATCTTGGTTGTTGAGTGAAATGGTTGTTAAGTGAGATTGACACAGGTAGTCTGTGTCAATCTCACTTAACTGCCCATGTAGCTGCTTCACTCAATGAATGCAAATCTAACAGTACCATTTATAGTTGTTAAGTGATCTCAGGTTGTTAAGCAGAATCCCAAATAAGGAGCATGCAGTGCCTGAGCCGGGGGTTGGGGGGGAGAGGGGAGGCCCAACTTCTGATTTTTAGCTTCTGGGGGAGAGATGCTTGAATGTGGCCTGCACCAGGCCTCACCAGGCCTCCCCCACCCGACCCCAAGACACACTGCACTGCTTACTTATGCAGCCTCTATCTATCATGCTGCCTTTAATTGTGCATGGAAAGAACTCCTTCAGTGGGGTGCAGAAATGGAACTCATCAGAATCTGAGCTTGATTTCTGCAGTCTGCAGAAGGAAGTCATCTCTCCTTTGTGCACAGAAGGGAATTTCTCCCAAGGGGTGCAGAAATTCAATTCATCAGGATCTGAGCTCCATTTTTGCACTCCATGAGAGAGAGTCATCTCTCCTGTGAGCTTGGAAGAGAAACTTCCAAAGGTTCAGAAATGGAGTTAAATCATCAGGATCTGATGTCAAGAGATGGCTTCTATTTTCAAAAGTGTTTTAGCATAAAATAAGTTTTTAAAAACATTGAATTTTATCATTTGTTAAAAGAGACATAGACATCCAGAATACAGACATTTTATCTACCTTAAAAATGATATATAGCAAAAATTATATATATATGTAGGTATGTATGTACATAGCATTTTTATGTAGCATTATGTGTATATACATATGTGTGTGTGTGTCTTAAAACAGCACATGTGAACAACGAGAAAGGACTCCATGAACCAACAGGAGAAAGCAGCTGATTAATAAACTGAATGTCTGGAAATACTTGCCAGTTTGTGATTGTTCAACCAGCCTTAAGTTTATATCTAACTGCTCGGTACAAAAAATCCACAAATTTTGAAACACTGATGACAAGGATTTACCACTTATGTACTTGTACTTAAAAGTGCAAGAGCCATATTATCAGAAGGGTAAGGCCCAATAAATGAGGGACTTCATATCAGAACATACTTTGTACATTATTTTCGGATTTTAAAAAATCAGTGTAGGGCAATATATACTGCTCAAAAAAATAAAGGGAACACAAGCAGAAGACAGCCGAGATCTGAATGAATGAAATAGCCTTATTAAATACTTTGTTCTTTACATACAGTAGTTTATACACTGCTCAAACAACTAAAGGGAACACAAAACTACTGTATGTAACGAACAAAGTATTTAATAAGGCTATTTCATTCATTCAGATCTCGGGTGTTTACTTTTAGTTTAGTTTTAGTTTAGTTTTATTTAATTTGTATACCGCCCTACTCCCGAAGGACTCAGGGCGGTGAACAGGCACAGAATAAAATACGTAAAATACAAAAATTAAGAACAAAAGTAAAATCAAATTAAATCAATTTAGCCCAAGACAAATTTAAAACCCCAGGTTAAGAGCAAATTAAAATTTACATTAAAAAAGAATGGGAAAGGTTAGGCCAGACCAGCCTGGTGAAATAAAAAGGTTTTAAGAGCGCGGTGGAAGGTGCGTAGATCCGGGATCCTCCGTATCTCCGGGGGGAGCTCGTTCCAGATAGTAGGTGCCCCCACAGAGAAGGCTCTTCCCCTGGGGGCCGCCAGCCGACATTGTTTGGCTGACAGCACCTGGAGGAGTCCCTCTCTGTGAGAGCGTACCGGCCGGTGGGAGGCCGTTTGCGGCAGCAGACGGTCCTGTAAATAACCAGGCCCTAAGCCATGGAGCGCTCTAAAGGTGGTAACCAAAACCTTGAAGCGCACCCGAAGACCACCGGGAGCCAGTGCAGCTCGCGCAGGAGAGGTGTTACATGGGAGCGCCACGTCGCTCCCATAACCACCCGCGCGGCCGCACTCTGTGCCAGTTGGAGCCTCTGGGTGCTCCTCAAGGGGAGCCCCATGTAGAGAGCATTGCAGTAGTCCAGGCAGGAAGTGACGAGGGCATGAGTGACCGTGTTTAAGGAGTCCCGATCCAGAAAGGGACGCAACTGGCAGATCAGGCAAACCTGATAATCCTCCCGGTCACGGCCGTCAAGTGCTCTTCTAAAGACAGCCGTGAATCCAGGAGGACACCCAGGTTGCGAGCCCTCTCCGTGGGGGCCAGCGATTTGCCCCCGATAGTCAGCGATGGCGTCAACTGACTATATCGGGACGTCGGAAACCACAGCCACTCGGTCTTGGATGGGTTGAGCCTGAGCCTGTTCCTTCCCATCCAGATCCGCACGGCCTCCAGGCACCGGGACATCACTTCAAGGGCATCGTTGGGGTGGTCCGGGGTGGAGATGTACAGCTGAGTATCGTCAGTGTACTGATGGTACTTCACCCCGAAACCACGGATGATCTCACCCAGCAGCTTTACATAAATGTTGAACAGAAGGGGCGAGAGGACCGACCCTTGTGGCACCCCACATATAAGGCGCCTCGGGGTCGACCTCTGCCCCCCTGCCAACACAGACTGCGACCGGTCAGAGAGAAATTGGAGATGTCTTCTGCTTGTGTTCCCTTTATTTTTTTGAGCAGTGTATATAGAATAGAATGGAATTCCCAGAAAGGCGTCTTTGAAATTTGGATTGTGGCCTTTCAGTTGAATATTAGATTCTTTTTATTCTTCCTACATACAATAGCACTGCTGTAAATCATATTTTATATCATTGCATACATGCTGGTTTATATTTTGGTTTTATTCCAGAACTGCTTTAATGCCAGTTTTAGAATTTAATATCCTTGAATTTTATTGATTTTTCTCTATCCTGTGAAATATCTACAATGATTCATCTTCTGTGAAATTTAGAAATCCAGTTAATAAATGAAGCTTTGAAACCATTTTATTTCCTTCTCATATGACATCCATTTTTTAAACCTATTACCTAAATTCAGAGATAAAAGCAGAGCTAGTAGATGTTCAGGATGCAGTAATCTCTTATACCATATCACATATTGGAAATTATTTCTCTAGAAACTATCTGAGAGAATGCTGCACCTAATATAGCAACATAAAGTAGGAGATTATTATTCAGAATAAAAGTGAATGATGGAATCCACAAAACCATTCTCATTTATCTTACGGGGAAAACGTTTACCTCTCTGCTTGAAGCTTTGTTGTTTTGACAATTAAATCCTGAGTTTGCTCCTTAGTTGCCTGAAAGACATATACGAATGATTAAAATGAGTTGCTATTAAGAACATAGTTTTACTTTTAAATATATATTACTTAAATATGATAAGAATGAATAGAAGGGCAATTTAAAGAGTCTAAAATGTCCTGTTTCCTCTTACTAACTGGGACACAGGGTGAGCCTTTTTAAAAATATATATATATTGCACATATATTGCTTTCTTAACATCTGAACTGGGAACAAGTTCAATATTACCAGGCTAAAGAGAGGACTACTCTGGGACAGACTCAGGTATGTTATAAATCTGCTTCAAAAAATTCATAAATATTTCATTTCATGCAAATGTTTTAGCACCTGAACAATCTTTAGACAGTCACATTAAAAAACATTCTGGCAATGTGTTGCTTGAAAGTAACATTTCCAGAGAAAAAAATGTGCAATTTCCCCATCATGTGCACAATACCTTCAAGTGATTAGTCATATCCTGGCAGCAATTGCTCATTAACTGCACATCTTCACTGATGTTTTCAAGCTCCTGAAATTGCATGGAAATACACATTATAACATTACAAGTATACATGATAACAGATGGCCTAAAATATTTATTTATTAAATGTATATGCTGCTTTTTTTGCAATTTGAGGCAACTCTAGGTGGCTTACAACATAATAAAATATAGAGATATTAAAAAATTATAAATGTAAAAACATATTAAATCTGTTTTAAACATTAAAACATTAAATACATTAAATACAGATTAAAATACCACAGGTTTGGGACAGCAGTGATGCCTTCTTTGTCACTGCACCAACCCCCTACAGCTACTTCATCAGAGCCGCATGCCAAAAAACTAGGTTTTAGAAAAAATATCATTAATACATTTGTTTAAATCAATAAATAATAAAACCCATTATTATTTTGGATTCAACTCAGTATTAATTTCAGTGAATCAACTATTTCTCTCAATAAATTCAAGATTACTTCTGTCAGCAGAATTGAAAAGTTTCCCTTTCCATCTAAAGTCCTTGAAACTTGCTTTAGAAAGTTGGGAACCTCCCAAACAAGTGGGAGAAATTATGTGGGGAGAAAAAAAGATGGGTGTCCTATTAGAGAAAAGAGAGTTCCTGCTCAAGCATAATTTCACCTTATATCTTTTTAATTTGATCATATGAATGCATTTGTCAAATAATATACATATTGTTTCATTAAACTGTATTTTCTACTGAGATAATAAAAAAACTTGAAGAAAATATTGAAGTATGCATAAGAAAAACAGTAGATTTATATAACAACCTGCAGCACAGCAGCTACCAGAGGAGCTTATCTTGAGAATGATTCTTTTCAGTAAGTTTCATGATACTTTTCTATACCTCTTTCACTTGTTTGAAAATGTAGACAAATTCTTCATTTATAGCTAAACTACGATGCTCAATATCTCCACGCAGATTTCTTCTGGTACGCAAACTGTTTTCCACAAAAAAGTCTGAAAGAGTCTTGAGCGCTTCTAACATTTCCTACAAAAATATGCAATAAAGACAATGTTGACAATTCAGACATAAAAAGTACCCTAAGAGATACATAGTTTTAGGTTTTCAGTCACCATATTTGTTCATGTTAAATGTGCAAAATTTTAATATAAATATAAAATACACACTTTATGACATATTCAATTACTTCTAAGCATAGACTAAACTAATCATAGTTGAGTGTAGTGTAGTGTAGTGTAGAGTAGAGTAGAGTAGAGTAGTGTAGTGTAGTATAGTGTAGTATACGCTGTATAGGGTATAGTATTAATATAGTTTGGCTTTTTAATACATCTTAGGAGCATGTTGTGGGAATTATATTTGCCATGGTAGCAATTTTTTGCCATTTGAAACATGGCTCTAACCAGTCACAAACAAAAAAATCAGGTATGACAGAAATCTATGGTGGGCACTGAGGCAACATCTGCAGGCCTTCTGATACCCATGATCCCAGGGTAACTACAGGGGAACCTCTGCTGTAGAGAACAGCTTTAGTGCAGTTCAAGGGGCAGACAATAGCACCCATTCTTTTCTCCTTCAAAAGAGGCACACAAAGAGTACACAGAATTGTCGTGAGGGTAGGAGAAGAAGCAATGGATGGAAACTAATCAAGGAGAGAAGCAGCCTAAAACTAAGGAGAAGGTTCCTGACAGATGGAACAATTAATCAGTGGAACAGCTTGCTTCCATAAATTGTGAATGCTCCAACACTGTAAATTTTAAAGAAGAGATTGGACAACCATTTGTCTGAAATGGTATAGGTTTCCTACCTAAGCAAAGGGTTGGATTAGAAGACCTCCAAGGTCCCTTCCAACTCTATTATTCTCTTATTATGATACAAATATTAAAAGGCAGTTTCATAACTTAAAACCTGCTCTCTCATACAGGTCTCTCTTGCTAAGAAATCATATACATCACAAGATCTGTGATTTCACAATGCAGTTTGTACTTGCACGTGTGAGTTATGATTAAATAATAGATCTGTTATCTGTTGCTATAAATACTGTGTGTATGCTTCACAGCTAATTCTGGTAGCATAGCAGTATCACTAAATCTGTGAGCATGAAATAGACCAGCAATTGGAAATATTTTTGTGACTGTGCATACTAATTGTGAAGATCCATGCCTCACAAAATACAGCTTTTTGTACATCTTTTATGAAGCAGATTCAAGGCTGATAATGCCGCCTGTTTGTAGAGAGGTGAGTTTCTTTTGTAAAGTATCTGTATACATTTAAGAGTACATAAAGATCTTCCTTCTTTATATTTTTGCACTAATCGGCAGATGTTGAAATAAACTTGAGGGTGATTTTTTTGGGTCAGTGTTAAGAAAAAAAAAACAAGTATTCTATAATACATTTAATAAGATGACTGTAAACAAAGAATGGAATTCTATAGCCTAAGTGTACATACTATGAGGATACAATATTCATGTCTTAAATGTGTGGTTTTGGCCCTACAGTAGTCCCAAGGAACTTTTCTCACTGTGATCTGTTGCCACAGTTATAAACTGTGGTTATAAACTAGGAGTTAACCCTCCCAGTCCATAAAGCATGCCTTAAATCCATAATTTTGCCACTCAAAAAACACTGTGCTACGGATTTTATAACCACCAATAACATAAACTTTAATCTAATACAGCACCACAGACTTTACACATAAAAACTTTAGGATCTGTTAAGAATTTGTGCCTTGGATTTATCAAAACACCACCATAAAACAGGCAGTCCATTTCTGTTATACTGTATACATATCACAGAAGAGTGAAGGATTTTAATTCATATCCAGCTATCTGAACTATTCAACTATTTTTGGAGACCAATATGTAGCAGTGATTCTGTGATGTTCAATGTGATGCAAGTCACAAGATATGACAATTGAGGGCAAAATTTCTGTTGCTAAGTGAGACATTTGTTAACTGAGTTTTGCCCCATTTTACGACCTTTCTTGCCACACTTGTTAAGTGAATCACTGCAGCTGTTAAGCTAATAACATGGCTGTTAAGTGAATCTGGCTTTCTCAGTGACTTTGCTTGTCAGAATATCACAAAATGTGATCACATGATCCTGAGATACTGCAACCATCATAAATATGGGTCAGTTGCTAAGTAGCTGAATTTGGATCAGGTGACTGTGGGGATGCTGCAATAGTTTTAGTGTGAAAATGGTCATACATTACTTTTTTAGTATTGCTGTAATTTCAAACAATCATTAAACGAACTGTTGTAAGTCAAGGACTACCTGTATAATACTCCTTCTTCCTCCTATTTTTCCACAATAACAACCCTGTGAAGTGGGTTGAGCTGAGAGAGTGTGATCGGTTCAAGGTCACCCAGTTGGCTTTCATGGCTAAGGCAGAACTAGAATGCATAGTCTACAAGTTTCTAGCTGGTTACCTCAACCACTAGACTAGACCAAATAACCACATTTGTTGACATTTTTTTTATCATTCTTTAGGTTACAGCTGAGGTGGCAGTTATGTGAGGAAGCGAGATAGATATTTCTAGTTTGTAAGATGTTCTAAAACTTTAAAAAATGTATGTCAAATCTTCAAGAGATATGATAGATTTAGCTTCATCCATCCTTCCTCACCCAACTCAAAAAGCACATATCCATATTTCAGCATTTTAGTACCAAATTTTTTAGCATAATCTGAAAAGAGATGCTCTAGGGGAAGGCAAACATCAATCTGGGGACTCTATGATCCATAGGCCACAGACTACCCGTGGTTCTTTCAGTAAGCAAGAACCTCAGTTTTACTTTACAATAATAATCGGGCCATCTCATACATTATCATATGACTAATAATCCTGTGTATTGCATTTAACTCACTAATACAGGGGTGGGCAACTATGGTCCTTTTATGACTTGTGGACTTCAACTCCCAGAATTCCTGAGCCAGCCATGTTAGCTCAGGAATTCTGGGAATTGAAGTCCACAAGTCATAAAAGGACCATAGTTGCCCACCTCTGCCCTAATACATTCCACGGTGGTCCTGAGAAAAGCACTTGATAAATTCAACATCAAATTATAATATACATCATGCGAGAACAAGTCATCACAGATACAATCTAATGGGGGGGGAGGGAAATCACATTTAGAACATGCTTTTAAGAACGGCCAGTTTCCACATTGCTCACCTGCACATTTCACTTTCCCATCACATGATGCTGTATATTTAAATTGCAGCTATGCCATGAACGCATTCACAAGTTTTAAAGAATCACCCTGGGATTCAATTCTCAGATCTAATCCTTTCAGAAAATAGGTACAAGGCCTTTTAGGTAGCAATTTCGGGGTGTCACATAACACAATTGGGGGGAGGGGCTCAACTCATAGATCCATCATGGGTTTTTGAAGTGAAAATCTTACATTTCTATCTTCGCCTGGGTTGAATCACCAGGAATCCTTGGCCAACTGGCCCTTTCCAGTGTATTCCGGGGGTCTTCAAACTTGTCAGCTTTAAGACTTGTGGACTTCAATTCCCAGAATTCTCCAGCATAGCATAGCTGGCTGGAGAATTCTGGGAGTTGAAGTCCACAAGTCTTAAAGCTGCCAGGTTTGAAGACCTCTGGTGTATTCAGTTACAGCACCCATCCTGCCCTGCAGCACAGTCGCTGAGGATGATGGAAGCTCAATATAGGCGGCTAGGGGGCCTTCTGCCTTCTAGCCGAGACAGAGCCGGCCTCATTTTTCAGAAAGGTGGAAGGAAAGGGAGAAAAAAGGGAGGCGACGAATCAACCTGACTTACTTTGTCGGCCTCCAACCGCGTCTCCAGCACTTTGCGGAGCTTGCGTGACAGCGGGTTGGCCCCGGCTCCGCCGGGCGGCCCTTGAGATAAAGTCCCCGTTGTCGGGGTAGCCGAAGCAGCCGTAAACGGACGCGGCGGCAGGTGTTCTTCGGATATTGCCGCCATTTTCGTCCCGAAACTGCCGTGGTGGCGAAAACAGCGCCGGGATCCGGACAAGGTGCGTCGGCGCACAAATTCCCTTCTCTCCTCTGCCCGAGAAGTTTAGTTCCGCCCGTTTTCGTTCTTTCTCCCTCTTTGTCTCTGCGAGACCGGCAGATTCCGACTAGGCGCCTCATAGGAGTCCGAGGGAGGCTTTGCTTTTTCGCGATTACCAGGGCCGTCTTAACAGCGTTATGGGCCCCGGCTGGCAAAGCACTGTACCTACGACAACTACTCACAGGAATAAAAATGTAAATGGTCGATAAAATTGAACATATTTGCATGTTAGTATTAATTTAAAAATGCAGTAAAATGTAGTAAACATGTTGCTGTATTTATATGATACAAGGTGCATTGAAGGGTTAACATACACAGATTAGTATGGGGCCCCTATGCTCATGGGGCCCAAGGGCAAATGACCATCAGGCCCATGCGTTAAGACAGCCCTGGCAATTATGACAATTAATACGCAGTTCCTCCTCCTAGCTTTCACCGCAATAATGCATTAATAGGGATCTTGCATCCAGGAGATACAGATAGTCCTCGAATTACAACAGTCCATTTAGTGACCATTTGAAGTTGCAACGAAAAAAGTGACATGACTATTTTTCACACTTATGACCATGACAGCATCCCCATGGTCACGTGATTTACATTCAGATGCTTGATACCTGACTCATATTTAAGAGGGTTGCAGTGTCCCGGGGTCCCCTTTTGCAATCTACTGACCAGCAAAGTCAATGGAGAAGTCGGATTCACTTAACAACCAGGTTACTGATTTAACAACTGCAGTGATTCACGTAACAAATGGGGCAAGTAAAGTCGTAAAATGGGGCAAAACTCACTTAACAAATGTCTCCTTTAGCAACATAAATGCTGGGCTCAATTGTAGTCATAAGTCGAGGACTACCTGTATTTAACACTTATTTTTGTTAGGGCTGAACTCAAGATTTTCCTCCTTTTTGGTGTGTGATTTTATCTTTGTGTCGTCTTCAAAATTTGGTAATTTGATTACATGCATGAAACAATTAACTCTCAAAGAAATTTGAGGCACAACTGACAAATGTGTGTTCTTGTTGACAACATTCCTAGTTCATCCAAATTCCAGGTGATTCAACTAACACAAACATGTAGTTTTCTCATCATTTGTCATAATTTTCTGGGATGCTTTTTCTTTCTCCCAGTGTAGTCTTATAGCTCTGGGAATTCCTGGTAGTTTCCCATGTAGTTATTATGGTGTTTAGCTTTTTTTTCTGCTTAGCTGAAGTTGGCAAGGTGCTGCCACCTGCTGTGATCTGGCAAGCAATTTTATAGCAATAATTTGTCACAAGACTTAATCCTATTGTAACAGGCTTAGTGATGGGATCTGTATTTTTGCATTGCCTTAATTATTTATGACCACAACCTTTCAAGTTCCCAAGATCTTTTTACTCAAAGAACAATGATGACATCTCCTCTTAACGTCAAAGACCTTGTGGCAGATGGAGAAAGATGATCCATACCTATCTTATCTATGGCAGGATATGAGCCATATTTGTGACAAGATTATATTGTTTGATGAAGATAAACAATCTCCAAAATTACCAAACTAGTTGTTCAATTGTACAAATTGCACAACTGGGACAAAAGCTGCTCAGAAGAAGGAATAAATAAACACTGGTTTTTAGAAATCTAAAACCCAGTCTCTCATACAAAAGCAGTACTATTTTGGTTAATAGATCACTGCACACTAGAACAACTAGACACAAGAACAGTTTTTTCCCGAACGCCATCACTCTGCTGAACAAATAATTCCCTCAACACTGTCAGACTAGTTACTAAGTCTGCATTACTATTAATCTTCTCATAGTTCCTATCACCCATCTCCTCCCACTTATGACTGTAACCTTGTTGCTGGTATCCTTACAATTTATATAGACTGTTTCCTAATATAATTTGATTGCTTATGTGTTCCCTATGACTTATCATTAAGTGTTGTACCTTATGATTCTTGACGACGAATGTATCTTTTTTTTATGTACACTGAGAGCGTATGCACCAAGACAAATTCCTTGTGTGTCCAATCACACTTGGCCAATAAAGAATTCTATTCTATTCTATTCTATTCTATTCTATTCTATTCTATTCTATTCTAAATTAAAAGCATAAATCCTTTGAAAGATGGAAAAATTATGATCATACGAAAATGTGTATATTTCTATAACATTTTTAAAGTATTTAAAAATAATATGTTGCTCTCCCATATTGCATGGGGTTGAAAGAGAGGTTTTACCTAGGGCCATCAAACTGATTTGTGTCAAAAGCACAATTCAGATCATATAAATCCTGAGTTATTTCATGGCCATATTTTATTAAATCTGTTCAGTATACTCTTCCAGCATCAGGCACATTTTTTCAACCATCTCCATTAGCACCTACCAGAACCTCTTTTTATTTATATAATCTCCAGGCATTTTGGGGGAGGTGTTTTCTTTTAAAAGGTAGGTGACTGAAGGGAAGTACTTTATTTATGAGTATGTCCATGGGGTGGGGGGAGATAAACTGGAATCAATCAGGACATACTGTTGGGGATTAGAAGAAATACTTTTATTTTCTTGTAAGTGGGGGCAATGCCCATCATAGCTACCATTTTGTAACAGCCCACAACATGCTCTCAAAATTGTAAATGTATGAAACAGTGGAGAAAAAATTGCCTACCTTAATTTAATCTTTCAGTTATTTCACAATTTTGGGAGCATCTTACATATATGTTCAAGAATTTGTGTGAACGCTGATGAGTTTAGTTACCCCAAGGGTCGGTTTCTGGCATTCATTTAATAAAGCACTGAGCTGAAATAAAGAGCAAGGAAACAACGATGTCATTCTGCAAATGCCTTTTACATTTTTAACATTTTTTGGTACTAAGGATGATATCTAAAATTTTGATGATTACAGTAGGAGATGACTTATTTGATTCTTCAACATTGTGAATTCTATCATGCAGAAAACTAGTTGCCTGACAAGAACAGGAGATAAAATGCAACAGAGATCTTATAAATATGGGTAGATAAGTAATTGGGAACAAAAGATACACGTACTTTTGGATCTGAGAGATTTCTCAGCTGCATTCAATAATACCAACCTTAATTTGCTCCTGGAGTTCTCCCTGAAAAACTGCCAGCAGGACTGGTGCTTAGCAGTGAACTGATGATCTATTCCCGTGATGGCGAACCTATGGCACACGTGCCAGAGGTGGCATGCAGTGCCCTCTCTCTGGGCATACGAACCGTTGACCCAATTCAGCACTGCTGCACATATGTGTGCACCTCCATCTGGCCAGCTGGTCTTTGGGTCTCTGCCGCGCATGCACGGGGGGTGGGCTGCATGTGGGGGGGGTTGCATGTGCAGGGTGCAGGGCACGCATAGGGGGCTATGCGGCCTGCACGAGGCACATGGGGCACATGCGCAGGTGGAGGGCATGCGTGGGGGGCATGCATGCATTGCATTTTGGGAGTTTGGGCATGCGCATGTGTGCACATTTTGGCCACTCAGTCAGGAAAAGGTTAGCCATCACTGATCTATTCTATAAGTCCTATAGAATAGATAGTGATGGCTAACCTTTTCCGGACCGAGTGCCCAAACTGTGCGTGTTGCATATGCCCAAACTGAGAGGTGCGGCTGCATCAGTGGTGAAATGTAAAATTTGTTACTACCGGTTCTGTGGGCGTGGCTTGGTGGGGGGTGTAATATGACTGAGTCGGCATGGCCAACTTTTTTTTTTTTACTTTTAAAACCATTTTTTCTACAACCTCTTCAGCCGAAGAGATTGTAAAAAAAATGCTTTAAAAAGCCTCTGAAGTTCGCAGCTGACTTGCCTGATCCGCAGAGGCTTTTTCTTTTTTTTAAGCCTCTGAAGTTCACAGCTGACTTGCCTTCGTCCGAAGAGGTTGTAGAAAAAATGGTTTTAAAAGCCTCTGACAACCCCAGCTGAGCTGCGCGATCATCAGAGGCTTTTTTTTTATTTTTAAAAGCATTTTTTCGGCTGAAGAGGTTGTAGAAAAATGCTTTTAAAAATAAAAAAAAAAGCCTCTAATGATTGCACGGCTCAGCTTGGCATTTGGGGGGGGGGGGGAGGAATTTTTGCTACCTGATCAGGCAATCCGATCTGAACCAGGAGCATTTCACCCCTGGGCTGCATGCATGGATGTGCGCATGTGCATAAGCGAATGTACGCACATGCGCAGCAGTGACCCGAAAACCAGCTGGCTGGTGGGAGACGGGGCATCCCAGCACTGGCAGCACGGCAAGAGAGATCTTTTTCTTTCATGAGCTTCTGTTTCGTCGTTTGCAGGGAAAAAGGCTCATGAAATTAACGCCATGGAGATCTGACCTGGGGCGAGGGTGCACGTGCCAGCAGAGAGGGCTCTGTGTGCCACCTCTGGCACGTATGCCATAGGTTCGCCATCACGGGTATAGGATTTCTTGGGGCTTCTGATGTCCCCCGTTCTTCATCTCAGCAGAAGATAGAATACTGAGCATCATACTGATGTGCTTGTGATCTTTCTCAATACCTGACAGTCTTTTTCTCAACCCAAGTACTTTTATTGATTTATTTTCAGACATGCATTAAATAAAATTACTATATATAAAAGAACAACTTTTAAGTAATAATAAATTTGAAACTCACACAAAAGCTAGTTACAGCTTTATTCCAAGTTCACCAGATTTTACAAATTGTTAAAAAGAAACATTATTTTTTTAATATTGACCATGAATATTCAAAAAAGTTTTCCAAAGGAAGAGATAATGTGACATTTCCTGATTAACCAAATATATAATTTTCTCAAAAATTCCTAAGTCATACATCTCTGAAATCCAGTCCTTCATACATAAAATTGTAAAAATTTCTTTTTTTGTTTTAAAAAAACCTGTTTAATAAAAATTATTTATTTAAAAAAAAGGACAGGTATTATCAAGGCTACTAAAGTACTTCACAAGTTCATCTTCTGATAAATACTGTTTCATAGCCGGCTATGTCCATCATAATAGCATGATATGAATTGGCTAGAGGAAGTGATCTAGAGCAGAGGCTTTTTAATGTCTTCGCTCTTCAGGGTATGGCATCTCTAAGTTTTTTTTAAAAAATCTGGAATACGTGATCAAAAAGCATAGCTTTGGTGACAGAAGATTTATTGTGTTGGAGTTAACTTTTTTTTTTTTTTACCTCTAGTCTCTCATGGAACCCCAGCCGGTCCTTATACAGGTAGTCCTCGACTTACAACAGTTCATTTAGTGACTGTTCAAAGTTGCAATGGCACTGAAAAAAATAATGTGATCAAAATTCAGATGCTTGGCTACTGACTCATATTTATGACAATTGCGGTGTCCTGAGACACCGCAATTGCGTGTGATCCCTTTTGCGACCTTCTGACAAGCAAAGTCAATGAGAAAGTCAGATTCACTTAACTGTGTTACTCAAGTGATTCATTTAATAACTATAGCAAGAAAGGTCATAAAATGGGGCAAAACAAATGTCTCAACAACACCAATTTTGGGCTCAGTTATGGTCATAAGTCGAGGACTGCCTATAGTGTTCTAGGGATCTGTAGAAGACAGTTTGAAAAATTCTGGTCTAGACTTTTGGAAATGGCTCTCACCATTGTGCTGATGTTACCCAGCTGCATCTTTCTTTTTAGCTGATGTAATTAATAAGTTGAGGATCAGTCCTCTGGCTTTTGGGAAGATTGATTCAAAGAATAAAACCTGAGAAATGTCTTCTTTGGTTTATTTAAATTCCAATATTCAAAGGTGCTAGATGAAGAAAGATAGAGTGAAGAGTTGTTGAAATTATATTCAACAACTGCCTTCTGAGCTTGCAGTAACGTTATCTTCATTGAATTAGGAGCTCCTGCCAAGTTCTGTTTGAACTCAGAGACAGCTATGGCAGAAGGCAAACTAAAATTACAAACTGTTTTAGCATCATCAGAGAGGAGGCCAAATCTAACCACGGTATAGTCGTCAATTGTGAATTTCCCCAACTATGTGAAATTTCATTGGGGCCTCTGCAGCTGCCTCGTAGATAATGCTTGATGTGCCAGTAAAGTATAGTCTTCAAAAGGTTTTGTTTCAAGTGCTCCATCTACCATCTATTTAGCCTCTTTCTTTTCTTTCTGCACAGTCTAATTATAGGATTGGGATTTATATTTGGAATGTAGAATAATTCTTCAGATGTATGCATCCACATTCAGTCTGATTTCTTGGAGTTCCTAAGAAATAGTGTATCTGGATCACCTGCCTTCCCCCCACCACCGCCGCCTCTGCCTCTGTCTGCTGCTTGCACAGGTACTCAACTCACCTGTGCTACCAGACATTGTCGGCCCATGTGTGCTCACCGCCTCCTATGCTGGTCATGCCCACCCCCTTCACTAGGGCTTACTTTTGGGGGAGGGCTTAAGCGCATGCATAAAAATAAGCCCCGGCTGGGGCTTATTTTCAGGGTAGATCATATTTTCGGGGAAATACATATAAAACAATAGGTTTAATGAATAGGTTGAGAGTTCAATCCTAGGTAGCAGCAGATGTTTCTTTCCTAGAGCTCAAAAAAAAAATCTGCTGTGAACTCCGTGTGGCATCAGGAAGGGCATCAGGCCAGTAAACACTCAGCTCCATCCAGTTGCCTCAACTCTACCCCGAACTAAGGGATTACAGTAAAAAGGGAGGGTTTTTTAATGATCCCTATATAAAATAAATCAAATTTAATTTTCCCTATCCTTACTACAATTACTTTCATAAAGTACTGGGGTCCTTAGCATGGCCACATATAACTCTTAGCCTGGAAAAAGTTGTGCCTATGAAGATGTTGGAAATCATGATGGCACAGACATTCAAGATGACATATAATGTTACAAGGGCAAGCCATAGCTTAATACTTGCACTTGTTTTTAAATTTGAACACAGAATTATGTCATAGATGTGCACATCAAATTCATGTTAACTTAAAATTTTACATGTGAAGTGCAAATTGGACATGTTAAAATCAAGACCATCTTATTTTCTATCAATATTATTTGATTCTTAAATGAAAACAAACTATGATTCTGAGAAAAAAAACCAATTATTTAAATGCCTTAACAATTTATAACTTGAAGTAATATGCATATGTAGCATATCAATGTTTCAAGCTGCATAACCAGTGCAACATTTTTTTCAACATCCAAACTTTATCGAGTTAAAGTATTTAAGTTCAGCAAAGAGTTGATGTTTTACAGTATTATTACAGAACTATTGCAAATCACGAGTCTCTTTTGATTGCAATGCATGTGAGTCAAATAAATAAATTTAATGTGACGTCCTTAGTGAGACTTAAAGTTGCCCAAAGTTGTGCAAACGTTTGTGCCAAATTTGAGATACATTTTAATAATGAAAAAGCAGGTTAGATAATAAAAACCATTTTACTGGAATCCTTAAAACACATAACAGGGAATAGTAGGCAATTCTCTATATTGACTTTTTAAGAAAAGCAATATGCTGAAAATAAGTATATTAACATTAACATATTGAAGAGCCAGACTCATAAATTCAGTCATTTTTAGCTGTCTAAAAATAAGGGATCCTTGATGCTCTCTGAGCTTGGTTGTTTTCTTGCGGATATTTCATTACCCAAACTAGGTAACATCATCAGTGCTAGTACTGATGATGTTACCAAGTTTGGGTAATGAAACGGCAAAAAAAGCCAAGTTTAGAGCACCGAGGACCCCTCATTTCAACCCTGAGCTATAAATATTCTCCTATATTGTCTAAAATAATGAATTCAAATGTGTCAGGTTTAATTTAGATAGGGTTCCTTCCATTAATTTATGATTAAATTATAACTTCAGAAGTTCCATTAATTTATGATTAAAGTATAACTTCAGAAGCTCTAGGTGCTTCATCACAGGAGGTTTTTAAGAAAAAATTGGACAGCCAGCTATCTGAAATGGTATAGGGCAGGGATAGTGAACCTTTTAGACACTGCCCAAACTGCATGCGCGCACATGCCCAAACTTAAAGGTGTGTGCGCGTGAACGTGCGAACATGCATGCATGTGTGGACATGCGTATGTGCATGAGTGGATGTGCGCGCAGGTGCAGCAGAGACCCAAAGACCAGCTGGTCGGCGGGAGGCGGGGCATCCCAACCCTGGCAGCGCGGCAAGAGGTAAGATATTTTTCTTTCATGAGCTTCTGTTTTCGTTGTTTGCAGGGAAACAGAAGCTCACAAAAGAAATGCCATGGAGATCTGATCTGAGGTGACGGTGTGCGTGCCAGCAGAGAGGGCTCTGCATGCTACCTCTGGCATGTGTGCCATAGGTTCGCCATTAAAGGTATAAGGATAAGGATAATTTTATTTCTATACCGCCCCTCTCCCGAAGGACTCGGGGCGATGTACAGCCAGGTAAAAACACAATATAAATATCACAATTTAAATTTAAATTGTCTCCTGTTTGAACAGGGGGTTGGACTAGAAGACCTCCAAGGTCCCTTCCAACTCTGTTATTCTCCTATTATGAAACAAATATTAAGAGGCAATTTCATAACTTAAAACCTCTTATGTAGCTCTCTCTTGCTAGGAAACCTCTATTCTGATTCATCAATTGATTGAATTTATGAAGTGCATTTCCGAAACTATAAAAGGGAAGGGGTTAATTTGCTCAGTCTATTCTTTAAAAGAAACTGAAGAACCAAGAGATTCCCAGGAGCCCCTCCTATCTGCCAGACAAATATTTTCAGGGATTTTGGACGCTCGGTCCTGCCAATTCCCCTTACTCCTTCACAGGGTGGATAAAAATCAATGATTTTTTTAAAAAAATCAAAAAAAAAATCAGATTTTTTTTTATTTAAATCGGATTTTTTTTATTTTTATCGATTTTATTTTAATAAAAAACTTTTGAGGTAAAAATCTATCGTAAGATAGTTTTTTATTTAAGATACATAAATAATTTAGTTTATTCAGCATGAAACGGAGCTTAGTTATGTGGCATGAGGCTGTATATTCTGCAACACTGGGACTATCGGTGAGTCAACAGTGGGTCAAAGGAGTAGCAGAGATGACAGTTGCTCTTTAAAAATTATGATTTAAATCGAGTTGATTTAAATCAAGCCTTTTTACTAGTGATTTAAATCATGATTTAAATTGTGATTTAAATCAACTCGATTTAAATCAAATCCACCCTGCTCCTTCATGCTTCTCACGTGCTTAGTGGTAACAGCAATGTGACACTATCGATATTCCCTCGGCTCTTCAAAGAGTGGGACTCTGGCAAGTCGGGCCGCGGTGTTTTCACACCTCTGTCGCCCCGCCCAGCCCCCGTTCAGTCTCCTCCGCGGTCGTCCCCCTCCCCCCACCCGCCCGCCCGCCAGGATGCTGGAGAGATGCGCTCTGGTTTTCCGCCTCGCCGCGCTCGCTTCTCTTCGGGTGTCGTCCTCCTTCGCCTTACAAGGCTGCGCGCGAAGCTCCCCCTCCTCGTTCTCGTAGGTGGCAGGGGGCGGAGCTCTTGGCGCCGAGGTTTTGGGACCCTGCTTTGGCTCTTCCCTCCCAGAATCGAGCCGCTGGTCCTGCGCTCCGGAGCAAAAGCCGCCGCCGCCGCCGCCTGCCGACTCCGACGCGTGCCGAGCAGCTGCAGAAAGGCCGCGCTTTGCAAGCTTCCATGTGTACTGGGGCCGGATCGGCGCAGGCAGGTTGGTAAAGGCTTAAGAGTTAACCGGGCGTGCGTGGGTGGGTGGGTGGGTGGTGGACGGGGAGGCGATCCTCGTCCGATTGAAGGAGCCGCCGCTGCCCAGCACCGCTCAGTTGGAGGCAAGGCAGGCGGAGAAGCCGTTTTAAAGGCGACTAAGACACATTGCCTGTCCCAGTTCTAAGAGCAGGGGAAGGTGGGGTCGGACCTCCGCCCGCTTTTCCTGCCCCTTCCCAAAACACCAGCCCCGGGTCTTCCCTCGGTGCCGGATCGTCCCCTTTCGAGGCGGCAGTGGGAAGCCCAGCGGAACCCAAACTTAGCGGCAAGTCCAGCGGGGCAGGCTGGCAAGCGCCCTTTCGGCGTTGCCGTCCGTCCGTCCGTCGGTCGAAAGACCGTGACTCAGCACTGGGGGGGGGCGACCACCCCCCCCCCGCCCACCCCGTTTTCCCGGTTTGACAGCCAGCGCGGGACAGTTTGCAAAGAGTTTGGGGGGTGGTGCTGTTTTCGCCGCCCCCCTTCCCCTCCTTTGCCTCTCTTCATCTCGGTCGCTGCCCGTTACAGTTTCTTTGATCGCGTGGAGTGGGCGAAGGAGGCACCCGGGGGGAGTGGGGAGGGGCGCGGCGTGCGTCTCGCTTTGCCGTGGGTGGGGAGAAAACAAAACAAAACAACGGGATGCTCAAAGAAGGCTCCTCTGCGTGGTCCGGGCCTTCTTCTTTCCCAGGGGTGCAGGCTGGGTTTTGGATTTGAAAGGATTGGCAGTTTTTTCCTCCTCCTATTGTCAAATGCGATCAAGCCCATTCTTTTCCTTTCTGTTGTGAAAGGTGATGGGCTGGTGTTTGTTCTCAGTCGGGATCTAGGCAGAGGCTATAACTCTGAGGAGAAAAACAGTGGAGGCAGAGCTTAATTTGGGAAAGCGTTAACTTCCCTCTTTTACAAGCCTCTTACAAAGGCAAGACCATTTGGGTTTTTGTTCTGTTGTCTTCCTGATCCTTGAAGCTCAGTTTGTTCCTTTACTCAAAGAGGAAATAATAGGAAGAAAAAGTCTTGGTACATTGCTATCTTATTTCTCTAAGTCTCCAGTCTTTCTGCCCTAAGGGGTTTTGTAGCAATTCCAGGGGTTGTTACTGGCAGGGTATTATTGAGCACTGATTTCCATGCAACTCAGGATTGATATTGCAAGGCTAACCAGGCTGCAAAAATGACCACAGCATACCACTACATAATATTGAGGTGCAGTGGCTCAGTGGCTAAGACGCTGAGGTTGTCGATGGAAAGGTTGGCAGTTCAGCAGTTCGAATCCCTAGTGCCACGTAACGGGGTGAGCTCCCGTTACTTGTCCCAGCTTCTGCCAATCTAGCAGTTCAAAAGCACGTAAAAAAATGCAAGTAGAAAAATAGGGACCACCTTTGGTGGGAAGGTAACAGTGTTCCGTATACTTTTGGCGTGGAGTCATGCCGGCCATATGACCACAGAGACATCTTCGGACAGTGCTGGCTCTTTGACTTTGAAATAGAGATGAGCACCGTCCCCTAGAGTCAGGAACGACTAGCACATATGTGGGAGGGGAACCTTTACCTTTACCTTTATACACAGCAGCAGCGAGAGCTTTTAGTATCTACTCGCTGCCCTCAACAGTCATGGAGGAGGGGATTAGTAGTTCTCTGCTGTCTCAGTCAGAAGGCAAGGCAGATGTGGGCTGCCCAGCTGGCTTCTGTGATGTGACCATGGATGGGCCTTGTTGGGTGGTATTTCCAGGCTCCATAAAGCTTCCACTGCTGACTTCCTCATGTCAAAAGAACAAGAGAGCTCTTTTTATTTGCCAACTGACATCCAGATGTGGTAGGAAAAATGAGAGGGGTTGACCTGTTTCTTTACCAAACTAGAAGGTGGGGCTTTGTGATTCATGGGTTCATTTCCACTTGACACTGAAAGCCATAAGAACAGTATCCAAGGCTGGATCTGGTAACCTTCCTGCAGCTTCCCTCAGCCCGATGCCTGACAGGACTACCCATCCTGTCATTCTGGTCATCTCCATTAAAGGGTTGTTGGATTGGAACACACTATTATTGTTCTAACCCAACCTTCAATCTTGCATTTCTTGCATTGCTCCCCAGCTTGGCTTCATGGTGAAACTTAATTTTCATCGCTGCTTTTCTTGGCCCCCTTCCCCATCTTCAAAGAACTCATGATAATTTACCTCATTATCCTGCTCCCTTCCTTAATGCTTCTCGTTAAATTACAGCTTCCGTTGGAGATGAAGAAGTAACAAGAAGAAGTTCCATCTCTGCCATACCAGGAATCTTAAGGATAAAAGAAGTGAGTCTGACGGCGCTTATGGAAGATTTCCTTGGACTCCAAGGTTCCTGGGACTGAGGAAATATCTACAGATCTCCAAAACTAGTATATCAGGTGGTGGATTTTGTTCCAAGTTCCTTTGGGTCATCATGACTGGGAAAATGGCCTCTAGCCTGACTTATACCGGAGTGATCTGGGCATTGCTTTCCTTCCTTTGTGCTGGAGCCTCCTGTGTGGGTTTCTTCATGCCTTATTGGCTGCTGGGTTCTCAGCTGGAGAAACCAGTCTCTTTTGGCACTTTCCGGAGATGTTCCTATCCTGTTCGAGATGAGAGCCGCCAGATTACCGTCATGGTGGAGCAGTGTGGACGTTACGCATCCTTCCAGGCCATTCCAAGTGTGGAATGGCAGATCTGCACAGTGGTGACCGGTTTGGGCTGTGGCCTCCTTCTTCTAGTGGCCCTCACTGCACTTATGGGATGCTGCGTATATGAGCTGATCTCCAGGACTGTGGGCAGGGTGGCTGGAGGCATCCAATTCTTGGGGGGTAAGTACCTGCAAACTCCTGACCTTGGAACCAATGCCTGCCAATGCAGACACAATGCCTCCATTGTTCTTGCTGAATCAAATTCTCTCTTATATTCATTTTTCTGCTAGGGCCAGCCTCCACAATATGGGAGGGGGTATATTTATAAAAAAAAAAAGACAGTGAATGGAATTTCCAATGCTGAACCCTTTTATTACAGTACTATCACTTTTTCCTGTGGGGAAAAGAACTGTTTCAGAGTTCACTCTAATCTCTTGTCCCTGAAGTAGTGAGATTTTCCACCCATTACTTGCAGGGAAAGAGTACTTGACTGCTACTCAGTCATGTTTACCTGAAGGAATTGTTCTGGGGAGAACGCAATATACCACAATTCTAACCATTAATACTAAACAGAAAGAACATTGTGTTTCTTGGAACATCCCCTCAACTGTTCATATTAAAATGGGAAACATAATGTATTAGAAAATAGATTTTTTTTAGGTTGGATTTCATATCACATTTTGAAAGTTATTCTCCCTTCCCCAAAGTCTGCTCAAGTCTCAGAGATCATTTCCTCTAGTTTATTGTTTCTGACCATATGGTTTTAATTCTAATTTTTCCTTTGTGTGTGTCTGTGGCTGTAATCCCTCTTTCTCTCTCTGTGTATGTGTGTGTGTGTGTGCGCACGCATTTGCAACTGTTTTCAATTCCAACTTCTGCAGCTGTGAAGGGGGAAAAAAAACCCAAGAATTATGTAAGAAATCAAATTTTATGACATTTGTGAGGAGGTAAAGCAGAGCCTCCCTTGAGCTGAGGAGAACTTCTGGCTACAGACACATCCATGCAGTTTCCTGGTCAACAGTATAGAAGTGAATTTTTCCATTACATTCTCTGGCATATTTTTTGACTTCCCCAATTTTGCCTCCAGCCTTGGAATACCCTGGTGATGTGTCATCATAGCCCTGACCAGGTTTAAGCTTGCTTAGCTTCCAGATCTGGATAAGTTTAGCCAACTGCTATTATCCCCTGCTGAATGATGGGAACTTTGTTTTCTGAAAGTGAGGTGATGGTGGTAGAAATGGAAATCGCTTGCTAATAATGGTCTTATCTCCTCCCTTCTAAGCGTTCTGAAAGAAAAACAACGTTGCAATGCAGAACTTATAGAGTACATCAAATTTCTACTCTGATGGTCTAAGTTAATATTAGTGGCTGCCTCTGCAATTTCTCTTTAAAGCCACATCCATCCAAGCTGATTTTAAAAATATGAAGATACGGGATGGACTCCAGTGTCAGTAGAAAATATTCCACTCACCTATTTTATGGGGATTTCTTCTACTTTACAAGCATACTTTTCAAAGTGGATTGGGTGATAAAATAAATTAGCAATAAAGTAACACGAACCTGTTGTAAATTCAATTGGACAATTCTAATTAAATTCTAATTATCTTTTCCAAATGACTTTTATGGAAGCAGATAAATTTAGGTGCAAAATTCACACATGCTAAAATTAATGCTGTGATGTGTAGCAGTATAACTGTTATTTTTCTTAATTAAGGAAAACGTACTCAATTAGCTATGTTTAGAATAATTATAAGCACCGTAATAAAATAATTCCCAAAGAAAGGTTTTAATCTGAATATAACATATTCATCTCTCTCCCAGTTTCTACTCTTTCTGCCAAATAAATTATTTATTTCAGCTATTCGTAGGAAGATTTTTGAGAAACTTACATAATATTCATAATTAGCTTTGTTTTTACTATGTTTAAATAAAAATGAACCCGTAATATTCATTTTTCCATTGACTGAGGGAACTGGAAAACATGCTTCAAAAGATTCTAATGTGAAGTGTTCCAGAAAACTCACATTTCTACCAAAGAAATAGGTGCTTACACAGTAATACTTGTCTGCTTTTTAAATTAGTTTTGTCCTCATTTTCTAACATATTTTTTTATAATTTTCTTCACAAGAGTTTCATTTTGTAGCTGTTTTTACCAAATTTCACCTTTTTCATTAATGGAAAATATTCCCCTAACAATTTGTATTTGTCTTGCAGTCTACTTGAAATTAAGTAATCTTAGCTCCATAAGTACTGCTGATGGGAGGCAGAATGAAAGTATTTTAATGTAGTTTTGATGCAGTCAAAATGACTGGAACGATAATTCTTTGCACTGATTTATATAGTATATAGTGCCAATTTAGCAACTTGATTTTGGGGTGTGTGTGTGTCAGTGAAAAAGCACTAGGAATATATCTTAAGGTGGTGAAAATCAAAGAAAGCAATCAAGTTCAATGCTTTGTATGCCTCGCTGTGAATTGTTTCACAGTGTAATTGTGAATTGTAATTCAAATCTTTTTATTGTCTTATTAGTTATATGATTAATATTAACAGCTTTGCAGTCCTGTTTAGTTGACCCATTGAAGAATAACTTCTACTCCAGAAAACAGCTTACAAATTCTGGTTATTTAATGAGGTTGTGAATGTTGAATTGGACCCTCCCTTGCCCAGTGGTCTTGTTCTCATAACAGTAGTTGAGCAGTGCTATTCTGTGTCATACTAAGATGGTTGGTGGAGAGGAACAAGTTGCCCCATGCAAATTAGTTAGTATCCTAGGATCCTTCATTCAGCAGCTGAACAATGTGACAAGGATAGCAAACATGGCAACTATAACTACTAGCCAGACAGAGGCTATTCCCTCTAGTTGCAACAACAGGGACAGATTACGCCCCTAGCAACCCTGGGCTGGAAAGCCCCAATCAATAGGTCCAACTTGGACAGCAACTCAAACTGATGACGTTTAACCCCTTGTTTCCCCATCCTTTAGTTAATGGCTGGGGCTGAAGATTTTTTTAAAAAGGCCCTTTGTGTGATTTGCTCAGTTTTTGACTTGCAGCTCCATGGGGACACAGTGACCAATGAGAAACAAGGGTTTGAAATTTTGCATCATGTTTTGACGCACCAAGATTTTTTGTATTATAACATACAAAACATTTTGCTATGTAATTGTGCAGAAGTGTGGTGGACAGTGGTAAAGCAAGGCATTGGAGAAAGAAAATAATGGGTTTATGTGTGTATGCCTTTTTAACATCGTACAGAAGGGCTATGAAGGGAAATTATGTTTCTAAGGAAAAGTCTAACCCAACAAAAAGAAGAATGGGTTTGTTTTATTAGCATGTAGCTTCACGGATGTGAATAAATATATGATTTATTCATTCATTCATTATTACTCATTGCTCCCCTTTTTTCATATATGAACCTTTTTCAGTCTGAATTAAATTTAATCCTTACTAGTAACCTCCAACCTCTTGGCCAGCCTCTATGAAGAGCAACAGTTGCTAAATTACTGCATTGGAGCAAGGATGCAAAGAAAGGGCCAGAGGCACACATCTTGGGAACTCTGTGTTTAATAAAAAGCAAATTCTGCTTGTACCCAAGGCATGGTCCATCTCAAAGTTCACAATTTTAGTATCAGAGTGAATAGCCAGCTAAAAGCAATCTGAATGGATGGCTTCTCCTCTCGTGCTGTATTTTATAGTAATATTACTTTGGCTGAATCTCTGTTCTTAAACCTCCTACAGAGTGGATTTTTCAGGGCATTTAATGTAGAGGAAAAACACTGGTTTGATTTATACCTGCTTCTCTGTTCAAGGAGCTAACAAAATTTCAAACAAGACAAAATATAAAGGGTTAAAAATAAGGACTAAAATCAACAATAAAAAAAACCATAATGACTGAGCGGTAGGTTTTGTAAGCTGTTAAGGGCTAGAAAGGTCAGTGCCAACATTTTAAGTGCTTAGTGATTTGCTCTTCTTGCAATTAATACCACAGCCTATTTAAGGTGTTACTTTCTCTGTGCTGAGTTCAGTTGAGGAAAATTCTAGTACTGTATCCTTCTTTTTTGTTTGGAAATTTAAATGATTTGGTATTATTAATTCAGAGGGACACATTGGAAGTTTTATTATATTCACTAGAAAGGGTGACTTTTCTTGATTTGCTCAGTCTCTTGAGTCTAGATTGATCCGCCTTTCTCTCCTTCTGTCTATGGAGATTATAAATCATCCAGGTCACGGTTGTCCCAAAAGTGCTTTTTTCAAAAGGAAACTGGACTTGGTTTTTTGAGAAGGTTTCACTTCTCATCCAAGAGGCTTCTTCAGTTCAGTAAAGTCAACTGAAGCGACGCTTCTCCAGTGAACTGAAGCTTTTTCAGTGAACTGAAGAAGCTTCTTGGATGAGAAGTAAAGCATCTTTAAGGAAAAACAAAGTCCAGTTACCTTTTGAAAAAAAACACCTTTAGGTTTCTCTCCTCTTCAGTTGTGATTCCTAATCTGTCCCTCTCTCCAACTTCTTTGCCGTCTCCAAGCTTCATCCGCCCTAGTCTGATCTGTCATTCTGATCTGTTATTTTTAAGTCAAGGGTGTCTAATAGTAGGAATCAATAATGTTCAAGTACAACCTAGAATACATTGGTGGACTGCAAGTTAATGAGACCTAAAAGTCTGTAAAATGTATATGATTGAAATTATTTCTAAAAAAAACTTGTCCCTGCAGCTTCAGATCTCAAGAGATGCCAGAATCTTATTCACCTCCATTTTCTCTTTGATGTATTTACCTGACCTCATAACAAAGAGCTAGGTGAGAAATGATGTCAGTTTTTCAACTTCAGATACCTTACCCTATTTCCCTGAAAATAAGACCTCCCCAGATAATAAGCCCAATTGGGCTTTTGAGCGCATGTGCTAAAATAAGCTCCCCCTGAAAATAAGCCCTCCCTGAAAATACTTAACCGCATGCACAGCCAATCCCTGCCATTTCCTCTGGTTAGGATTAGGGAGACAGAGCAGGAAATCAGGTAAGATGGCAAGAGGAGCCCCGTCTTGCTCCACACGCCCCAAAATAATAGGACCTCCCCAAAAATAAGGCCAAGCACTTATTTTGGGGTTCAGAAAAATATAAGACAGGGTCTTATTTTCGGGGAAACACGGTATTTGCGTACCATGTGTCAGGAATGTGAGTCATTTGCTT